TACTTAGGGTTTAGCAAGGCCAGCTGCATTTGTTTCCTATCCTTGAATGTCCAAGAATTTTTTTAATAATTTAAGAATTTGTGTATTATACCTGTTCTAGCAGTTCCCTTTCTGAATGAAGGGTGTATTTAGTGGTAGAGTGTATGCTTACTATATGAAAGCCCCTGGCCCTAATCCCAGTATCACCCCCAAACAATGCCCTTAGCTGCTGTAAAGTGGGGATGTGTCCATCTTTACTTGGTTTTTCTTCAATTGTCTGGTTCATTTTCACTGAAGGGTCCCTCATGCCACAGGCATCCTTTCCTATTGTGTGTCATTTCTCCCTCTTCCTTCTGGATCATTCCATACACATGTAAATGCACTCTTGTCTGACTCCATTATCTCCAGCACACATTACAGTGAACTTTGACATTGTCCATACTGCCTGCAATGTCTCCTTGCCCTTGCTTCCTGTTATCTTTGTCAGTTTACCATTGTTGGCTCTCAGCAAGGTCAACACCATCTGTAGAGCAAAATCAAATAAACACTTCAGAGACTGCACAGTAGCCAGTGAGAGCCACCCTGGGTTAACATCTGTATGCCTCCACATGGAAGCTGTCCTGTTTAGTAAGTGGTTGTCCATATGCACATGCAAAGCTATTTTTATGAAACATATGCATACATAGTAATAAGTGTGGACCTGTATCCATGTATGTATGTGGCTCTAGTCACCAGCCTGGGTATGTGGCACAAAACAATGGTATACTTTTATGGACTTGTATACACTGACACTATCACCACTTATACTTTTAAAAATTTCATTTATTTGGAAAAAATAAATGTTTAACTACAATCTTTTCAACCTCAGCAAACAGGATTCTCCTTTCTTCTTTGGGAAATATCAGCCTGTTTTTATTGAGTACTTCACAGTAAACCATGTAGACTAACTTTACTTGGGGTTTTGTTTTATTTTGTTTGTTTGTGACAGAGTCTCACTATGTAGCTTGGCTGGACTGAAATTCACTATGTAGACCAGGCTGAACTCAAACTTACAGTGCCTCTGCCTGCTGAGTGCTAGGTTAAAGGTGTGTGTGTGTCACCATGTGCAGCATTTTTTTCCTAATTAAACAGTGTGTGTGTGTGTGTGTGTGTGTGTGTGTGTGTGTGTGTGTTATCATGGTACACACATGTAAGTCATTGGGAGTTAGCTGAGAGAGGAAGAGTCTCTCTTGTTTCTGCCACTGCAGCTGGCCCAAGAACTTCCAGGCAATTCTACCTCCATCTCCCGTCTCACCGAAGGAGGCTGGGAACACAGATGTGCACTACCTCATCCAGCGTTTAATGTGAGGCCAGGATCTGAACTAAAGTTGACACTTTTGCCCACTGAGCCATCTCTCTGGCCCATTTCTATTCTTCATGTCTAAACTCAAATGGCAAACCCTATAGGATCTTCTTTAATTACTTTACTAATTTGGGCCACCAAGGATGATGGCACACACGTAATTTAGCATTAGGAAAGCAGAGGCAGGAGAATCCTGAGTACAAAGCCAGCTGGCCTCCCTAGCAGATTCTAGGATAGTCTAAGTTACAGTCAGACCCTGTTTCTAGATAATATATAACAAAGTTGACTTCTATTTTTTAACTCTTTTTTTATAGTGACACCATCATTTCCTCCTTCTGAGTAACTTTGCCATCTTAGAAGTATGTATCGAACACTGTTAGTGCCAGGTACTGGTGGCGTACACCTTTAAACCCACCACTCAGGAGGCAGAGGCAGGTAGATCTCTGAGTTCGAGGCCAGGCTGGTCTACAGAGCAAGTTCCAGGACAACCAGGGCTGTTACACAGAGTAACCCTGTCTCGAAAAACCAAAACAAAAAACAGAAAAACAAAAACAAAAAACAAAGGAACACTGTTATCATATCTTGCCCCTCCCCCACGCATAATGCAATCACTCTGAAACCAGGATTGTGGCTCTTGTTCACCAATACATCCCAGCATCAAAATTCTAAAGAATGAATGACAGAATTCAGTGTGGTGGAACTTTCCTGAGATCCCAGCATGTGGGAAGCAGGGGCAGGTAAAGCACAAGACGGAGGCCAGCATGTAGTGAGACTCTCAAAATTAATAACAATTGAAAAAGGAACACTGAACTATGTGATAAATGTGCTAAATGAATAAAACCAGTTCAGGCAAGCACAGATCAGCCTCACAGCCAACCCAGGAACCCTACCTAACCAGATCTGGCAGAGGAGGGACTTCTATCTTGCTTCCATAGTATCCTACGCACATTCTTCCTCTCTTTATAAGAGAGAGAGTGTGTGTGTGTGTGTGTGTGTGTGTGTGTGTGTGTGTGTGTGTGTGTGTGTGTGTGTGCTGGAATGCATGTGTGCATGTATGTTTTGACTGCATTTTATGTGCACAAGCATGCCTGCTGCCCAAGAAATCAGAAGACGGTGTCAGATCCCTTGGAACAGAAGTTACAAATGGTTGTTAGCTACCATATAGGTGCTGGGAAACTAACCCTTATCCTCCACAAAAGCTGCCATTGCTCTTAACCACTGAGCCATCTCTCTAGACCCTTTAATAACTCTTAGATTTATTTTATTTGACCTGTGCACATTCTTTTTGCTCCTCCATGATATGCCTATTTAACTTGAAATGGCCCTACTCTCTTCCCACTACATGGTGATTTTGCTTATTTATCTCTGTGAAGGCTGCAGGTGCTAAACAAGCATCACAACAAAGTCTGATGTTTACTACCAAGGCTAAAGAACAAAATCCGAGTAATACCTTAAGAAAGCAGCAAAAAAGAAGAGGCCAGAAGTGACTGCAGCTTATCTATTTTATAGGGTGAAACGACTCTCCTCAGCATGGCTGGAGAATGAAAGACACCAACTCCTTGCTCCTGTTTTTTAAACCCCTCTAGTGCTGGGATTAACGGTGTGAACTATAATTCTGTTTTTGACTGATTCAATCTTGTGTAGATCTGGGTGGCCTTGGACTCACAGAGATCTGTCTACCTCTCAATCCTGAGTCCTAGGATTAAAGGTGTGTACCATCACCTCCTAGCTTCTGGCTGCTGGGATTAAAGGTGTATGTCACTGATGCCTGATCTCTATATACTGAGGATGGCTTTGCTTTTCTGAATCCTCAGTCAACCTTTAATAAATCATAAATAATATATCACTACACTTACACACAGGAAGAGCAGGGGGCAGGGCTGAGAGCAGAGCTCAGTGGGAGAACAGTTGCTTAGCCCCAGTGTCACTCCTCAGAATTAAAAAAAAAAAAAAAATCAGTGCTGGGAAGAGACACACTTAAGTCACTAGGACCCAGAGGAAAAAGAATATTGAGAAGCCTCCAAAGCCAGGACTGAGAGGGTAGGAGACTCACGATCCTTAAATTACATTTGATACTATGCAACAATCCTCCTTAAAACTCCTATTCTAAACTTTGATCAAATTTTATTCTGGTTGCACTGTTCTGAGACAAGATTTCACTATGCAGCCCAGGATAGTCTCAAATTCGCAATCCTTCTGCCTCAGCTTCTTCAGTGTGGAATTACATAAAAAATGACTCCACTACCCCAGCTCAGGCTCACTATTCTCATGCTGAATGTAATTTGCACTTAGTTATAAAGTCTTAAGCTTAAACTAAGAAGGCTCTGCACACTTTTGTTTTGACACACATCAAGTACCTGGCCTATCTAATTAATCTTGGCAACATTTACTTGTAATCTCAGTTAACCTGATTTCTCTGTAATTCCTCTAGCTATCCCAAAGGAACTAACAAACTTATCAAGGACTCCCCTAGGCATGATGGCCTGCTCTTTCAATCCCAGCTAATCCAGTGTCTAAAATAGGTGGTTGAGGAATTCAAAGTCATTCTGACCTACACAGCAATACCAAGGGGGGAAGAGAGAAGGGGGGGAGGAGAAAAGGTAGGAGAGAAGAGGGAGGGGAGTATTAGGAGGGAAAAGACACTAATATCTTTCTTGGGAACACTTATTCTCCAGAATAGAAAATAAAACATCCTTCTGGCTTTCTTAGTATTTCAGTCGTTCAGGATTTAATTTTATTGTTTTATTTTTCTGAGAGTGGGTATCCCCAAATTGCCCACGTGGGTTGGAACCCCAGCCTGTGGAGTGGCTGGAATTGCAGACACCAGCAACTCAAGTAAGATTAATTTTATGCTTCATTTTCCCTCAGCTTCCACCCCCCACCACAGTCCTCATGCCCTGCATTATTCTTTTGCAATCTCTTGCATAGCACTGCTCTCTTGATTCAGCTTCTACTGCCAGAACTACCCAGTTCTGTGAATCCTGATTATTATAGAAACAAAAAAGTCAACCGTCCAGGCCTAACTGCAGACTCTTAGAAACGTAGGTAGATTTCAAAGCTTCCTATTGCAACCAAACTGTAAACGTCAAGCTTCATAACCACATTATAGAGTTTCTCACCCATTCCTAAGACTGTCAGGCATCTTTCTGGAATGTAACATTTGCATAATAAAGGTCTGTCACTGTAGTGTTCCCCAAACACAACAAGCAGAAAAGAGGCACTCGTTCCAAATATAATTTATTTTTGTACTGTCTGAGTAGCCATCTTGTTAAAGAGCAGCTGTATAGTATCTTTTGATTGTCACATAGTGCCTCAGTCCTGATAAGAGCAATAATTAAACCAACGATTAGCTACCGGATTGGGGGGAGGGGGAGAAGCACGGACAATAAACTCACACGTATACTTTAAAGAACTTCTCCGAAACTCCTGGGCCTGTAAAGAGTCTCGGCTCTGTACAGCCTGGGATCGCACCAAGCCAGCCAGACCCAGGCCTTGCTGCCCAGGCCGGTGTGACAGGAGCACAGACGGACACGGGGACACAGGGCCCCAAGGCGCGCGTGGGAGGCGCTGTTGCCCGCCATCCCCTAACCCCAATCCCAGGTGGCTCTGGTGGGGCTTTGCCGGAGGGCGGAACCTTGGACGGGCGGGGACGGGTTCCCCCGGAATTGACCCGGCTCACCTGCAGCAGCCCTCGAAGCAGAGGCCGGCGGACGCCGCCGCGCAGAGCCGCCAGAGCAGCCATGCTGACGCGAAAGGCTGTCAAGGGCAGAGAAATGCACTATGGCCTCCTTTTCACACCAGACACCCCGAGACGTCGCGGCGGACCCGCCCCAGGTCTCTCCTCCAATAGCAGCCCGAGATCGCTGCACTAGCTGGGGATTGGCCCGCAGCCCTGGGGCGGGGCCTGGCGGGACAGAATTGACAAATGACCAACGTGGCTTGACATCTGTCTGATGTAGTGTAAACCGCGTTTGACCTGTTGACGCCTGTGATTTCCGTACAGCTTAAGACTTTCCATTCACTTAACTGCGCCTGACCGTGTGACTGTGTTAACCCAGACAAAGGATATTGGTAAATGTTTCCAGCAGTTCCATTTTTATTCATTTATAAATACAAATAAACCAATTATGTTAAGAGAATTTTGAAGTTGTTTTTCTATAGGATGCGAAATAAAATGAATGTTACTATCTAAACTTCATTGAATAATAAGATTAAATCAACTTCCACAGAAACTCCCTGCAGGCTGATTGTGGTGGCAAACACCCAGGAGAGAGGCAGCTGATCTGTGAGTAGTTCCGGATGAGACTGGGGAATGAGTTCCAGAACAACCAAAATTACAAACGGAGAAACTGTCTCAGAAGAAATTAAAGCAAAACAAACAAAAAAATCCCCCCTTCATTAACTGATGTTAAATGATAACTATTTTCCGTTTGTGGAACCCATTGCTGACATTAGGGGTTTGTGTTGCTTTGAGTTTTGTTTTTAGACAGGGTCTCACTATGTAGCTCTGGCTGTAGAGCAGGCCACTATGCCTAGGCCAGACTATCAATCTTCAGCTGGGAATAGCATATCTTTCTGATTTATAACATTGAATTTACGATATGTTAATTGCCATAAAAGGTAAAAGGTATGGCAGCATACAAGTTGAAGTTTACTTCAAGACAACCTGTTTTGTGTATGTAGTTGTATGCACTGCGAGTCACTTGGGCTTCTGTGGTTCTTTGCCATATTTTTGTATTGGGATAGGGTTTCTCTGAGTAACAGCCCTGGCTGCCCTGGAATTCACTTTGTAGACCATGCTGGCTTTGAACTCAGAGATCCCTCCAGAGTGCTGAGATTAAAGGTGTGTGCCACCAACTGCCTGGCTCCTCCTCCTCCTCCTCCTCTTCTTTTTTTATTTTTTGAGACAGGGATTGTCATTGCACCTGGAGCTCACTAGAGTGACTGGCCAATATGCTTCTATCTCCACTCCTCCTCCCCAACCCCATCCACAGAACTGGAAATACAACCCAGGGCCACCATACCTGGCCCTTGGTGCTGAGGATCTAAACTCAGATTCTCTTCCTTGGGAAGCAAGCACTTTGCAAACTGAGCCATCTCCTCAGCCCTTTGGGAGTGAGCTCTAAGTGTGTATGTATGTTCCTGCATTTGTGTGTAAGCATCACATATGTACACACAGGTGCTTGAGAAAGGAGTAGAGGGCGTCACAACACCTGGAACTGAAGTCAGAGGCAGTTGTGAACTGCCTGCTGTGTTTTGTAATTGCAGCAAGTATTGTTAACTGTTGAGCCATTATCCCCGCTTACTTTGTTTCTTAAGACAGTCTCATGTAGCCCACGATGGTCTCAAACCCACTAGGTAGGTAATCAAAGGCGACCTTGAACTCCTAATGCTTCCACTTCCACCTTCAGATTGCTGGGGATACAGCTGGGTATAAAATCTATATATAATAGTTATATAAACTAGGCAAGTATTCTAAGCTACAACTCTAGCCTATTTTTGTTACTCATGTGGAGATCAGAGGAAAACTTGCTGGAGTAGGGTCTCTCCTTTCACAACCATCAAACTCAGGTTACAGGCTTGACAGCAAGCTATTCCCCCACTGAGTCATCTGTGCTGACTTAGGATATTGGCTATCTTTAGTCATCTTTCCTTAGCTAGGCATGGTGGTGCCACCTTTAAACCCAACATCTAGGAAGCAAAGGTAGGCATTAAGGATTTCTGTGAATTCAAGGCCACCCTGATCTACGAAGCCAATTCCAGGACAACTAGGGCTGCCCTGTCTCAAAAACAAAGTTTTTCCTTACTACTTCACTCTCATTTATATGTTTACATCCTTTTTAGTTTCAGTAGCTCATAGGTCTCTATAAATTTTCCTAGATTTTCTAATTTGCAGTAATATAGGCTTTCAGAGTGATCCTGACACTGGTGTTATGTTAAAATATTTAGTTCCCCCCCCCCTTTTGGCTAATTCAGCTGGAGAGTTGTCATTCCTGTTTGTTGTCATTCTTTCTTTTCAAGAAATATATCACCAATTCTTTGTTTAACTTAGTTAGGGCTTTTGCTGGGTAAATGTTTTATTGAGACAGGTTTTCCTTTGTAGCCCTGGTTGGCCTGGAACTCACCACAGACTCAACTCAAGGCTGGTCTTGAACTTGCATTGATAGTACTGCTTGATATTTCACTGATTTCTGCCCTGACCTATTTTTCTGATTTTGACATCGCTATTTTTCTAAGACCCTGAAGTTCACCCTCATTTGAGATCTGATTTAAAAAATACATATTTCATGTATTGAGTGTTTTGCCTGCATGTGTATCTATCCAAATGCCCGGTGGCCATGGAGGTCAGAAAAAGCATGGGAGCTTCTGAAATAGAGTTACAGAGGGTTGTGAACCACCAGGTGGATGCTTGGAATCAAAGCCAGGACCAATGAGAAAGAAGCAGATGCTCTTAACTGCTGAGCCACAAGCCCCTCAAAATTTTGTGAATGTGAAAATGTGTGGTGGCACACATATATAATCTGAGCCCTCGAGGCAGATGTATCTCTGTGGGTTTGAAACCAGCCTGTCTACATAGTGAAGTCCAGAACAGCCAAGGCTATACAGAAAGGCTATACAAAAACAGATTAATTGCTTAGTCTAGTCCACTAGGTATTATCAGGATTCTGTTACATGGGAAAAGGTGTTCTATCCATAAATTCCCAGTTTTCCAAAATCAGCTACGGAGTTTATATTATTACTCAGAGACACATGCTGCAGTGCATTTGTGGAATCAGAATGACAACTGTGTGTGGTGGAATCCCTTGCCCCAGTACTACACAGTTGTGGACAAAGGACACTAGATTTTCACAGCAAATGCCTTTTACTCAGAGTCGTTGAACTAATCCTTTAGTTTTGAGGCAGGATATCATGTAACCTGAGATAATTTCAAACTCTCACCAAGTGCTGGGTGGGATTTGCGGAGTGTGCTACTACATGCTGCCCTTGTTTTAAACCTATATTTATGCCTTGCAAATTCTTTAATAGAAATGTCTATCCCATTGTGACCATCCAGTTGTTTAATGTTGCCTGCCTCTAAGCTCCATTCTAGTCAGTATGACTGTGCTCTCTTAACAAGGAAGTTAGCTTCCAATTTAGCTCACTATGGAGCTGTTTCCTCAGGTGGTGGGGTTTGTGATTAAAATGCTCACTAGGTCAAAATGCTTGAGTGCTTGCCAAAGCTTTGGAATGGGCTTGTGCAAGAAACCAAATATTTAAGCTTAATTAGTAATCTTGTTTTGGCTAAGGTGAAGTTTATTCTTTTCTGTAACCTCAATTCCAAGTCACCCTTACGTCTAGACTCCTTGAATCTCAGTGAAGGTACTAGGCCAGGTTCTTCTAGCCATCAGCAAATCATGTAGTCATCCACCCAATTGTCATGTCTTATTTTTGGTCCTTTTAGTGGCTACAGCTGACTATGATACCCCAAACATAACAGAACATTCTTCACTGAGAAAGTCTCACTATGCTGCCAATGCCAGTCTTGAACTCCTGGGCTTGAACAATCAGCTACCTCATCCTCCCTCCTGAGTAGCTGGAAGACACAGGTGCAGCATTGCTCAACTGAAACCATTTTCATTGTTTTTAAAGACAGGGCAGCTGGCCTGGAGTTTGCCAGTATACCAGGCTGATCTTGAACTCAGACTCTGGAACACTGAGATTAACGGCACATGACACTATTCTTAGCTTGCCAAAAATCTTAACTATTGTAAAATTTTTTATAGTAGAATCAGGATTTTCTGGATGAAAGCTTTTATATTACACTTTTATTTTGCAAGAAAATAAATTATACAACTTAAAAAATAAAATCCCAAAAATCATCAAAATATTTCAGCCTACTGCATACAGAAACTGCTCCCGTGTAAAACTGTACAGTATCATTTCAGTATGTAGTGGTGCACATTCAAAACTGTACAGACCATGAGGATAGACTACACCTTAGGAACTCCAGACCACACAGAGAGTAGATGACAGGAACGCTCTCAAACAATGTTTCTTCCATAACTGTGACTTGGGAGAACTTGTGACAGCACCCCAGTCGTTTACATGAAAACAGAAGAGCCAGCTTGAGTTTATGATAGCAAATCTTTTGTAAACTAGCAAATATTTCACCCAGATTGAATTTGAAAAATTTGCCCTTGGAGCAGGGCTAATGATATCACATAAAATTTAATGAAGAGTAAAAATAAGAATAACATTTCATTTTTTGGAGACTTTAATAATTATGCACAAAGGTTGATAAACTCGGGGACCTCCTCCAATAATTGTAAAAATTGGGCGACTTCAGAATTTGAGGATCCTTATAAAAAATATTAGAATAATGATGGTCTAACATTTGTCTAACTGTGATCACCAAATGTGTCCCACATTTTCCACTGTGTGAATCTGTTTCCTGTCTCCTTACTCTGGCCATGAGATGGCAACAGGCTATAGATGATGCCACCTTTAATCAGATGGAAGTACTGAAAACTCTGAGCCTGCTACACTATTGACTTACAAATGGCTCTTTGTTGGTGAGTGGAAGGCAGGGTTCTTCTTCCCATTACCTGTGTCATGCTTGGCCCTGCTCAGACAGCCAAGAATGAAAGTCTGCAGGGAGAGAAGTCAGATAGGGAACAGTAACGGTGGTTCTGGACCTTCAGAAAACTCCTGGTTAAGATCTGTTTCAGAATTTTTTTTAATTTAGCAAATCTATTGATAAAATACTTAAAGAAAATCTCAACAATGGTATAGGCAATAGGCACCTTGTCAACTAAACAGTTTGATTAACACCAAAAAGCACTTACACTTTTGTATATATATTTTAAAAAATGATGAAAACTGTTAAGTCTGTGGTATTGACTGCTGTTCATTCCCCAAAATACAATTAGGACATAATTAACTAGTAAAAAATTTATAAAATTTAATAAAAAACTTTGCTATGGATTTAGCGTTACCCACTTTGCATTAAGTTTGCCTTTATAAATCAAAACATCACAGCTCTCATTCTTAAATGACCAAAGTGATTAGAAATTTCAAAGATGTTCTAAGAAAAATTATGGTTTAAAATGACAAATCTTAAACATTAAGAAATGGCCTAAAATTTTTCCCTTGATTGTTTCCTCCTTTGGCATTCTGGTACTGGGACAGGAAAATTTGCCAACACCAAAACTATTAAACAGAAGGGCCACAGTCATTATAAAGGTATCTCTCTGAGTTCTGGATGCACCAACGTCAACTATCATCCACATCGTGGAAACCTCGTACAGTGAGTCACGCTTCACACCTGTTCTAGCCATGGCCTCCTCAGAGCAGCAGGGTAGACAGTGAGCACACATGCACTTCCAACTTCCTATGAGTTTCCCAACAGATATTTGACTATAAGAAAAACTTTAAATGTCTGACATGTATTTCCCTTCCTTCCAGGAAGGGGCTCACAGCTGCTGAGGCTGCAGGCAGGTCCACAGCCCACTGTGGTGATATAATACTGTATGCTTCTCAACACTCCATTTTCTGTTAATTTCAAAGCCATACTTCAAAATATTACTTAACATCAAAGATTATAAAACAATTTGCAAGAAAACTTGAAATGTGCACCACAATGAGTAAAAATACACATGGAGCCATTTTTCCTGATGGGGAATCATTCTCTCTTCAGTTGCTCAAGCCCTCAATTTCTAAATTCCTACTGCATTGTGAAGTCCTGAGTCACTGCTCCGGATTAACTGAGAGAGCAAGCTAAGTGTTGCCCTCTGAACATTTTAAAAATGCTTATTTTTAAAATATATAAATATATATATACATATTTGGCAAGGTTACTACTCATGTTACGGCCAACAACTCTGAAAGCTTCTCAGATCTCAGGCTGTAATCTCATCTCTCTTCCTCCTAGGTGACAGGGAATTATTATTTTAACAAAAAATGTCTTTCAAGAAAACTGAGGTGGTAAATCCCTAATCACAACATTTTCAAAACACCAAATAATTCTATGCTACAGGTTTAGAAAGCAATTCTCTCATTGTACTGTATCAGAGTATTTTTCTGCATTGTTTTCAATAAATTTTGACATGGCATAATAAATATTAAGTGTATATGAATTAAGTGTATTAGTAACACACTTAACACGTTTGCTTTGTGATTCTGATTCTGCAATCAATGACTTACCTATACCCATAAATTTAACAACCGAAGCAACATTCATTATAAACTTCATGTTTTCAAAACAAGCTCTCCAACGATACAAGACTTATAAAGGAAACCCCAAATCCTTACCATTTAACAACAAACAACTAAAACAGCAGTCTCCTGCTTAACGACAATCAGGATTTGTAAGGTAGAAATATTTAATACCATTTTCAGGTCATCATCAAAATCCAGTTATTAAACTAAAAGCAGTGTTTAACAAACAACTTGATACTATGGCATCCTCATCTTCTCAAGTACACCTGCCCTTTCCCAATATGGTGTTGACAACTTCACTCTTTTCATTAAAAGAAGCTAAGAGTGCTACCTCTACCTTTAATTGCATTTAAAAAAAAAAAAAGATAACAGCATTTTTCAGTGCATGAATATCTGAGCATCCTTCCTTGTGCAAGTATATTCCTTTAAAGAGGAGAAGGGGGTAAAAGAAGCAACAAGAACCCCACCCTCACCCTTCCAAAATGTTATTTCTCTTGGTGGGTAAAAATTGAACTGACTTTGAAGTTCATAATGGGCTCTTCATGAATGCAATTTTCTCCACAAAACAGCATGCTGTTAAGAGTGTGCAACATGAAGGGAATGCCATCATGCTAACTAATGTGACTGGCAAAATATAGTCGTTTGTAAGGTAAGGCAGAGAGTTTAATATTTATGTAATCAAAGTCCAAATAAACCTTCCTCCAGCTCAAACCGGGACAACTTTCTGCCCAGGGGCTCCAGAATCTATCTGTGCTTCAACAGTGGCACAGTGCTCAGCTACGCCATGTAGATGAACGTGTTGATGTCGGCCTCATCTCTCCTGATGTACTTGTGCTCTATCAGCCACTCGATTTGCTCTTTTATCATTTTCTTCTGTGGTAAGAACATGTTTTTCAAAATCTCTACTAACTCAGTCTGCAGTTGAGCATTGCTAATTTTCTTTCTCATTTTCATTATTTGTATGATGGCTTCCTAAGAGAAAAATGAAAACAGAAAGTACATTAATATATTACACTTGTCTGATCAAAGCAAATCAGTAACTTTTCCTACATTATCTTCTAACACCAACCAAATTGCACAGCAACTCCTAGGTATTCACACAACTACTATTACAAAGATGTGAAAAGTTAAAAAAAGCCAAAAAATTTAGACATTCTTTCTCCCTATACAAACCTGGGTTCTTAATATTCTTAGCTGAACTATCCCTTCATTTTCTTCTTCTCTCATTCTTTCTGTAGTGAGCTGCAAACGTCCAATCAAATTGATTTTTCCCCTTTTCTGAACTTTTGCATTTTTTCTGCAAAAAAAAAATTGAAAGTTTTGAACATCTTATTACAGCATCATGTCAGAAGTTAGAACTGTTCTAAAAATAAGATGTAGTGCTGCTTAAAGGGTAAGTAACAACCAGGATACACAGCTTCCCTTTCAGCAATCCCCACCCTTGTTATGGGGGGACTTGTCTACAATTACCTGTAATCCTAGCACTTGAAAAGCTGAGGCAACAACCTATTTCAAGCAAAAATTTAAACAGTCCTTTGATTCCTTCAAACAAGATATACGGCCTCTGCTGACCATTAACTGCATTCTTTAACAAACTACAAACTACCTGACTAAGGCTTCAGATAAACAGCTCTGCTGGATAAGGCTGTTCTATTCCACGCACTCAACATTCTGGTCTCAAATATTTTTTAAATAAAAAAAAATGAAATGATACAAAACTAGTGATAATACTCAGTTACTATTTTTGACATTACATAAAGCAAATGATTATTTTAACAAAAATCAAAGCATTAAAATTCAGCATAGTACATTTCTTTTAAATCAACAATGTGAATCTTACATTAGGCTGAACTCCTGGTTCACAGAGAAGAGGGTCCCTTCTGTGAAGTCTTTGGGTGAGTTGACTTGAGGTTCGTATAACAAAACTTGGCGTTTGAGCTTGGGAAAAGCTACTAAAGACTATGAGGAAAAAAAATCAGCATAGTAAATTATACAGAGTGTTAGGAACAAGTCTACAATACAGGCAAGAATCGACTTGTAGAGAAATTAACAATCCAAACTTTTATGTGAACAACACGCACATGACAAAGTAAATGCCTAATGAAAAGAGCTGGTTCTGAAAAAAGAGACATATGTTCTTTTACTTCATGTAGTGAGACAAGCACTGGTTGGTCATATAGGACCTGAGGAACTGTCTGCCAGGACAGTCATGTAGTTGCCTCCATTGCTAACAGTTTATTCTGGAATCTGAGTTACAGGGTAAGCACTAAATGCAATTATAATCAAGACTATCATGAGCACACTTTACAAACATTCATAACTTTGGTTGGACTCCTTAAACACACTTAATACCAACTCAATCTCTCCCTCTTCTCTTTCTCTGGTCCTTTTCTACTTTGGTAATTTGCTTTTCTTTTTTCTTGATTCATAAATTCCTCAACACTGTGCATTTTTTAGTTGAAAGTCATATTCAGAGTATCATGAATTAAAAACTTTACAAGGAAAAAAGAAAGAAAGCCATGGAATAAAGTCCTAGCACTTGGGAGGCAGAGGCAGGCTGAGTTAAGGAAAACCTGGTCTACAAACTGAGTTACAGGATAGTTAACACTACAAACAAACATTGTCTCAAATGCTCCCAAACATGCCCCCCCCCAAATTTTACAGTGGCTTAGGTATGTAGTTCAGTGGTAGAATGCATGTGTACAAGGGTCCTGAATTTAACTCTCAGCACCAAAATTCTAGTTTTACAAGCCATTTACTTATTCTCAACTATGTGACATGACACTATTTTAAAAACAAAATCGAATAAAAGATAAAACAAACCCATAAAGTTCTTCTAAGTTCGGCATCAGGGAGTTCTGTTGCAAGTTTTAGATTTTCAAAGCTGATTTTCTCTCTGGGCCTTTGGTTCCATGCAAACAACACAGCCAACTGAAACGTGGTTACTTCCAAGTCATACTGACCTACTTCATTCTTAAATGTTATCTGTAATAGACAATGGGATTTAATAAGGAATTCATTTCTTCATGAAGCTTACTCCGGTATCTAGTAAAATGTGCATGAGGTACTAATGGGAAAATTAGATTGCTAGTTTTTTTTCCATGACCCATTTCTCCCTCCTTATAGGTAATAATCTTAGACCTATAATGCATCTCCCAGCTTTCCCTGTAGTGAAGTATAGTCATGTGACTTCATTCTGTCCAATGTGTTTGATGTAGAAATAATGAGGAAGATGTTTATCAGTTGCCTTAAAGGAAGGTTCACCTTCTCCTTTCCCTTCCTTTTTTCATGAGTCAGGGTTGGTGATCAGATTGGATTCTACTGTCAAGGTCATTGGTTTGGTAAGCATTTACTAAAACTTGGAAACTATGTCCCTAAAAGTAGGGACAGAGCCACTATTTTCTGTTCTAATCCTAATCTATACTAATTTTTACTTTTATTTTGTATGTGAGGATGTTTTGCTTGCATATATGCCTATACTGCACATATGTGCAGCAACTGTAGAGTTCTAAAGAGGAATTGGAGGTAGAGACTGTTTTGAGTCACTGGGACTTGAACCTAGGTCTTCTGGAAAAGCATCAGTGTTCTTAGCCACCGAGTCACCCCTCCAGCCCTCAGGCAACTCTTTGTACCAGCACCCAAATTGGTAGCCCATCTACTTACAATTCCATTTGACATGAGATGGTGCCAATGTAATTTTCTACCACTATGATTTTTTTTGTAAAATTCTTCTACCTCAGGTATCAAGTCCTCCAGTTCAGTAGGAAGTGAGACAAACACTTTCTCAGAGCTTCTAGACCAGGCGCCAGCATTCAGAATCTTTATATTAACTGAATCAGCTGCAGGTAAGAAAATCAGAATTTATAAATATTTTGACAAGTTAAATTTTACAGAAAATAAACAAGGGCCAGGTAATGGTGGCAGCAGCACATGCCTTTAATCCCAGAACTTGGGAGCACTATTTGAGTTTGAGGCTAGCCTACTCTACAGAGCAAGTTGCCACGACAGGCTCCAAAGCTACACAAAGAAACCTTGTCTCAAAAAACAAAAACAAAAAAAGGAAGGAAGGAAGGAAGGAAGGAAGGAAGGAAGGAAGGAAGGAAGGAAGGAAGGTGAAACTTTTGTTAAAAGGGACTTTTTGTGTGAATTTTGTAAAAATCTTTGATATTTACTTTAAATAATTGAAAAACTATTTTTTTAAGTTTAAAAATACACTTCTATTTAATTATAGATAATACCTGGTAATGCCAACTTATTATTTTTGTGCATTTCCTTAAAAGCTTGGTTCAAGTCTTCAGATACTTTTATGTCCTGAAACATTCTGGCAAGCTTGTTCACATAATCTGCTGGCATACCAACTTCCTACAAAAATCAAAGACAGACATAATAATTACACAATCTGACATAGTAATAGGACAAAAACCTTTCATTTCATGTGCATTGGTGTTTTGCTTGCATGTATGTCTGTGTGAGGGTGTCAAATCCCCTGGAACTGATGTTAAACAGTTGTGAGCTGCCATGTGGGTGCTGGGAATTGAAACTGGGCCTTCTAGAAGAACAGCTACTGAACCATCTTTCCAGACCCAGGGAAAAAAGAATCTTAGAAAATTATTTTGTTTAATTTTTCAGGTTCTGGGGACTGAACTTAGGGTCATAATGCATGATAAGCAAGTACTCTAGCACCAAGCTTCATCACTGTCTTAGATGTTCTAATAAAAAATTATTCTCTACTTTACCAGAATATAATATATTACATTTGATTCTTAGAAAATAAACAGGATAGTTTCCAGTATGCATAGATTTCAGTCACTGTAATATGAATAAAATCAGCTCCCAACTCAGCTCAACTTCAGTTGACACCTTTAACACCTCAATCCATAAATCAGGACAAAGATGATAGAAGGACAGTGGTACAGCTCAGTCATCGGATGCCTAAGGGCCTGGGCTTGTTCACTAACCCAAAAAGAATAAACTCCCTATTTATCAGGGGATGACCTTGAGGAATTGGAGGATAATGATCCTCTAAGCCTCCATTTCCTTGACTCACAGGCATGTATCACTACTCACAGCTTTTTATAAAATTACAATGGTTGCAATTTATTCACAAACCTTTCTATAGTTAAGTATTTAGTATCAAAGACATGGTTAAAAAAAAAAAAAAGTTGGTGGTTTGGTCCTAGATACTACTTAAATAAATTCAGTTAAAATTGAGAGGGGTGTAAATGGAAGCACAACAGTAAAAACAAAGAAGGCTTAAAATTTATTAAGAAAAATCACATTAGACACTCCTTTTACCTCGTATGCCTTCCCTCCACCCCACTCCCCCAAATATGTAAACAAAAGGTTGTACTTACTCTCAGCCACTCTACCATGTTTTCTTCAATCTCACTGTCAGCAGAGATGTCCAATATAAGGCGTCGGGTAAGATGAGCTTTATGATACCTCATAAAAACATCTTTATTTTGTACATATTTAAGTACCAAGAGCTGCACAGAAGACAAAGTTACTTTAAATTCTTATATTCTTCACCATTTCTGTCAATAAGACCTTTCTATATTCCCCAACATCCAAGATGCAGAGATTTACAAAAACATAAACAGAGGCCTATTAACTTACATATCTCTGAGAAAACAAATTAGCAAATTTGACTTTCTTCTTGCCTTTTTTGAGACAGGGTCTCTCTATGTAGTCTTGATGTCCTGCAGCTCACTCTATACAACAAGCTAGGCTCAAACACATAGAGATCCACCTCCTAAATGCTGGAATTAGAAGTGTGCAGCACCATGCCTTGTTGCACAAATCTAATAGGTCTTAATAATAAATAGTCAGCTATCAGGGGGTGAAAGCTAGAGGATCCAAGAAGTAAAGGAGCCAACACAAGAGAGACCTTGAACCTCTACTGAATCCTCAGGCCAAAGGCAATCCTCAGATTGCCTGCTAGAATGCAACCTCAAACTGTATCCTCTGCAAATCCTCCTTGGACTGACTGTTCAGACTGCTTTGCTGCTCAGACTGCACTGAACTCCTGTTTCCTCCTCCTTATTTTCCTCTCTAAGTCCAGCCATATTACTCTTGAATGAGCCTCCCTAGTGTTGGGATTAAAGGCATGTGATCTCAAGTGCTGGCATCACCTTTGTGTGAGCTCCGTTTCTCTTTTAGACTGGATCAATTTCAGTAGCCCAAGGTAGACTTCAACTCAGAGAGATCTGTCTGCCCAGTGTTAGGATTAAAAGGGTGTGCCACCACTGCCTGGCCTCTATGGCTAACTAGTGTGGCTAGCTCTGCACTCTGATATTCAGGCAAGCTTTATTTGTTAGATCACAAACAAAGTGTCACCACAATCCAAGTTCTTCAGACTTCATAAATATGTGATATCTTATGGGAAAACTAGTACTGATTTCTCAACACATCTTAATTCTCTCCTTGTGACACCAACCATCTCCCTAGGCTATTCTGTCTCACTTGTATGATGTTTCTCTTATTTTACCCATTTCTGTATTCCTGAGCTAATCATTTTTCTAACAACCAACCAGGAGGACCACAACAAAAAACAAACAAAACAATTAAATTTCACCCACTCTCATTTGTCCCTATCTATCTTGGGCAGACTTTAATACCTAATGCATCAAGAAAGAAGCCAGGAGTGTTGATACTCCTGCACTCAGGAGACAAAGCTTAATGTCACCAGCTACATGAGAGAGAACAATTCTTAAAAACACAAGGCTGGAGATTTAACTATTATAGTGCCTGCCTAGCATACACAGGCAAGAGCCCACACTTGGGAAAGGGCATGAACACACACATAATGAGGAATAAATGATACTTTTCTTTCAGGAAGCCATTGAATAAAAAACTTTAGGTACAACTAAATACCTTATCAAAGTTTAACACTGCAAAACTTTTTTTTTTTAAGATTTATTTATTGGGGCTGGAGAGATGGCTCAGAGGTTAAGAACACCTAGCTGTTCTTCCAGAGGTCCTGAGTTCAATTCCCAGCAACCACATTGTGGCTCACAACCATCTATAATGACATCTGGTACCATCTTCTGGCCTTCTGGCAGACATGCAGTCAGAACACTGTATAACAAATAAATACATCTTTAAAAGAAAAGAAAATAACTCTGGTAATCCCTTACTCTATGTCTAAAATCCAATATGAGTGAGTACATATCATATTTAAAAAAAAGAGATTTATTTATTATGTATATGAACTCTGTATACATAATGTATGTTATGTATATACATGTACCGCTGCAGGCCAGAAGAGGGCATCAGAATCCATTACATAGTTGTGAGCCATCATGTGGTTGCTGGGAATTGAACTCAGGACCTCTGGAAGAGCAGTCAGTGCTCTTAACCGCTGAGCCATCTCTCCAGCCCAACACTGTAAAACTTTATAATGATGTTTATATAGAAATACATATCTCAGGGCTGGAGAGATGGCTCAGAGGTTAAGAGCACTGACTGCTCTTCCAGAGGTCCTGAGTTCAATTCCCAGCAACCACATGATGACTCACAACCATCCGCTATGAAATCTGGTGCCCTCTTCTGGTGTGCAGATATACATGGAAGCAGAATGTTGTATACATAATAAATAAATAAAATCTTTTTTAAAAAAAAGGAAAGAAGAAAGAAATACAGATCTTGCAGGGCACTGGTGGCCCACGCCTTTAATCCCAGCACACAGGAGGCTGAAGCTGGAGGATCTCTGTGAGTTCAAGGTAAGTCTGGTCTACAGAGAGAGTGCTGGGACAGGCTCCAAAACTACAGAGAAACCCTGTCCCAAAAAACAAAAAACAAAACAAAACAAAACAAAAAAAACCCATAAAATACATACATATCTCTTTGTGTAGTGTGTATATGTGTGTGATATGGAGGCCAGAGGTTGACACCTGGCACCTGGAATTTTCCACTATTTCTCTGTACTTTTGAAAAATTTATTTTGTGTGTATAAGTGTTCCTGCATGTACCACATGCATACCTTGCCAGTGAAGGCCTGAAGAAGACGTCAGATCTTTTATAACTGTAGTTACAGAAGGTTGAAAGCTTGGTCCTTCGAACAAAACTCAGGACCTCTGCAAGAGCAGACAGTACTCTTTACTGAGCCATCTTTCCAGTCCACTTTACTTTTTGAGACAGGATCCTCTCAGTGAATTAGACTAGAGCTCACTGACTCAACAAGGTTCGCTAGTCAGAAGGCCTTGGTATCAACCTGTTTTCCACTGAATGCTTAGCCCCCCAGTGCTGGATTATAGTTGCATATCACCACAATTGGCTTTTATTTTATTTTTACTTAATGTGGATTGATGTTTTGCTATGGCTGTCTGGTCCACTGGGAACTAGAGTCACAGACAGTTATGAACTGCCATGTGGATGCTGGAAATTGAGCCTAGGTCCTCTGGCAGAGCTGTCAGTTCTCTTAACTGCTGAGCCATCATCTCTCCATCCCCCTCAGCTTTTGGTTTTTGTACATGAGTGCAGGGGGTCCAAATTCAGGTCCTCATGCTTGTAAAGCAAGCACTTTGCTCCAGTGTCTACTCTTCCTTCACATAACAACAACACTGCCTTGGAAAAGAATCCTCATGTTCTCTTTACTGGCTAAACCTTTTAGAGAAAAGAAGGCATGCCCATTCCTGTGTGGCATTCTAAAAACAGAAATGGGACAGGCCCCAAGTGTTCCTATGCCCCATGTTAATCCTTCAAACATATGCTTCATGCCTTGGCTACGTATGCCCCAAAGCATGCCTGCTATATTTCTTTCCTGGTTATATTTATTGAACTAAGCATGCCCTGGACTATGCCTTACCTTGATGTGTTTTCCTATATGGATGTGCACAGATCTCCATATAACATCTCCATACTTCCTTTGTTAAAGAAGAACATTGATTTGGGTAAAACTGTTTCTCCTTACCAACCACAGAAAATAAATCTTTACTGATTAAAAAAAAAAACTTAAAAATGTACTTACTGCCTGGTGTTGGTGGCGCACGCCTTTAATCCCAGCACTTGGGAGGCAGAGACAGGCAGATCTCTGTGAGTTCGAGGCCAGCCTGGTCTCCAGAGCGAGTGCCAGGATAGGCTACAAAGCTACATAGAGAAACCCTGTCTCGAAAATAAAAAAAAAAAAAAAAAAAGAAAGAAAAGAAGCATGTACTTACCACTTCTTTAAGCTTTGCTTCAATCTCTTCAGAGGTTAGTTTTTTGCTTAACGGTGTTTTCCTTAATAGCATATCACAGTAATTGGCAAGCAACTCAGGGCATTTCGATTCAGGCTGAGTTTTCAACCCCACTCTAGAAAACAAAAGTAGTTGTCTTTTACTGAAATCACCTAAGCTTCTAAAATGATTTTTCTCTATCTCCACAGCACTGGTGATGAGCTGGCAATGGGCACCATGAAGAGACAAATAGGGGAACATGTTAACAATGGATTCATCCTTTGCTTTGCAGTGGGAGGAGTTGATCACTGTAATCAAAGTATAAAGTGAGCTGACTCAACCTAAGCTGCAGCTGTACTAAGGATCAACCTCCTACTGGTTAACCACTGCATTTAAGAAATGACAGCCACACACGAGTTAACATGGAAAAAGAAAAAGAGATGACAGCCAAGCAGTAGTGGTGCACACCATTAATTCCAACCAGCACTCGAGGCAGAGGATGAAGATCTCTGTGAGTTTGAGGATAGCCTGGTCTACAGAGCAAATTCTAGGACACAAAGAAACCCTGTCTCAGAAATGTCCTTCTTTGGTTTTCAACTGAAAGCACAGACAGTCTGTCACTCTGAGCCAGAGAGACCACCAAAAGTTCGGGGAACTCCATGGCCTGTGAGTTTCGATCCTTTCGATAAAGGCGGCTTCTGTAGCTCTATTAAGATTAGAACTGCTCTTCCAGCATTCACATGATTATTTCAGTTCTCAGCAGAAGCACAGGCCTACCATCAAGCACTTCATTCTCATCTCACAGATGAGTGTCCTATATAACCTGGATGCTACTATAGGTTTACTCTGTGTGGTAAATTAATCTTGATTGCCAATATGATTGCATGAAAAAGAAACCTGTGTTAGTAAAACACCCTACTGGATTTGTCTGTGAGGACTAGTCTCTGATCTCATCTGTCATGGATTCTATTGTGAAGAAACTGTTGGGAGGTGGCCTTGCAGGAGAAGTAGGGCAGTGTTGGGACCCTACTGGGTGACCTAAGGTATCCTTGGTGTTATCTGGCCTCCAGATTAGGCATTCACTTCCGTCTTCTTCCCTCCTCCTGCCTAGGCCTGTATTCAAGAATGCAAATTATCCACCCATTGCCAGAGGGCTTGGGGACATGAGCCTTGACCTAAGTAAAGTCCCACTGTGGCTGCTGTTGGTATATAAGTCTACTCCCCTCTGAAATAAACCACATTCTCCTTGTAAGAATGACCCACTGTCTTATCTTTATTTAACCCTCAGATTCCCTCGCCGGAACCCGTGAAATAGTGTAGCTCTGGCTGCTACTACCGGGCAGCAGGCTGGGGTAGGCATGGGTATCCAGACAGCTGTGTCCTCCCTGACCCATTCCTGACAGTGCTCTACTGTTTCTTACTGTCATGATGGAAGGTGCTCGTACATCCTCCCTGCCATGATGAACTGACAAAATACAAAAAATAATTTCAAATATTTTCAAGATTTATTTTATTTTTTCTTTCATTATTTTTGAGGCAGGATCTACACAGTCTAGACTGGCCTCAAACTCAAGATCTTGTACCCTCAGGAAGTGCTAAATTTAAGGGAACATACCACACAACAAATATGCAATGCTGATTTTGAGTTATAAACTGACTCTATCCAGCAACTGTATTTAGAACTACTAGAAGATACTATACCTAGGTCAGATTTACTAGTAATCCAAATTCCAAGTTTCCATTTCTCTCTAAATTTTACTTAGCACAAGCCAATTCACTTTACCAATAAGAGATTTTGTTTATTAAAAACAGGCTTTGGCTGTGTAGCCTTGGCTGTCCTGCAACTCCTTCTGTAGACCAAGCTTGTCAGGGACTCACAGATATCCACCTGCCTTGTCTCTGCCTCCCTAGTGCTGGGATTAAAGGAGTGTGCCACCATAGCCCTGTGGTTTATTTTCTTTTAAATTAAAATTTAAAGTTACCATAGCAAGTAATGTGTATTGCTTATTTATTTAATTAATTCATTTATTGTATGTGTGTGGATGTGTTAAGGAATATGTGGAAGTCAGAGAATTTGCAGGACTTAACACTCACCTTGAGTGACCAAAAATTCAAATTAATAAAAGTTTAAAAACTCAGGCCCTGCAAGGGAATGTCTAATGATAAAGGAAAATTTAACTCCTCAAATCAGGAGTGCCAAGACTGGTGCCTGATCCCCTGCATTCCTTTGCTAATTATTGGTCATAAAGATTCCCCAGCCCAGGGGATAACTGACAGACACTGTGACTCTGTAACCCTGCAAGCCCATGCCCTGTCTTATCTCAGTCAAATGTATCTCCCTTAAAATGTATAGTTACTAACTAACTCTGTACTTTGTATGACCTTAAGTAACCATGAAAACTCTGTAATTTGTGGCCTTCAACCTTATGGTCTGCCCCTTTAAAAGCTTCTCTTTTTGGCTGGGTGGCATCTCATTTGCCCACCATGCAGTGAGATCCTAGCTGGCCAGCTTGAAATAAAAAGAAACCTTTTGCTTTTGCATCAGAGTGTCGACTCCTTGGTTTAGTCTCTGGGCTTCAGGAACCTGGCAAAACAACCTATCAGTGGGTTTCAGGGATTGAGTTCAGATTGTCTGGCTTGGCAACAAACATCTTCACCAGCTTAACCATCTTGCAGGCCCACAAATAGGCTTCATTCCCTCTCTTCTCCAGCCAATCTCCTTTATTATATACATATTCTCTTACTAATTCACCTGTTTATTTCTTTCTGAGCTGGAGGGCCTCCTATTTAGTATGATAATTCAAAATTTACATTAAATTTCACTTCCCCTTTTATATCATAAAGGCAAAGTCATTTTCTATGCTTTTAGAATAGCAAAATACATTTAGCAACTAATAAAGGGAAACCAGGCAGAGATTCTAAAGACTCAGAACAAAATTTATTTTCCAATTCCCAAACATTCATTTTGGTAAAAGGAGATTCAAAAAATAATCATAATTTGAAAACTTTTAATAGCAACAGGTAGCAAATATTCAAAGAATAACAACAAAAACCAAACACCAAACTTCAGAGCTGAAAGTAAGAGGCTCTGTAGCTAAACTTACTTAAAATTCAAAAATAAAGCCAGGTATGGTGGCACATGCCTTTAATCCTAGCACTGGTAGAGGAAAGAGGCTTTTTGTAGCCAGGCCAGCCTGATCTACATAGCAAGTTCTAGGCCAGCCAGGGATAAATAATGAGACAAAAATCAAAAATATTAAAAAGTTTATGGAGCTTATAGGTGGTTCAATGGTTAGGAGCACTGCTGCTCTTCCAACTGACACAGGTTTGGTTGCTCACAACAACCAAACATTTGTAAATCTAGTTCCAGGGAACACAAAGCTTCTTCTGACTTCCATGGATACCAGGCACACAAATGGTGTACTTACATACATATAGGCAAACACACACACACACACAAAAATTAAAACAAACAAAAACAAGGATAAAGGATGTTGCTCAGTTGGTGGAGCATATATGGTCATGGGTTCAATTCCCAGCACTGAATAAACCAGGCTGGGGAGGTGGTATTGCATCTGTGATCCCAGCACTCAGGAGAAGAGACAGGAAGATTAGCAATCTACACAGGGGGTTTGAGAGCATCCTGAACCAAAAACCTTGTCTCAAAAACAAAACAATACCAACAATTAGAACGTAAAAGCAAAGAAGACCAAACTTATAGGGAAACAGGGCACCTTGCTCACCCAGTAAGCCAGTGATGTGTAACATAGTCCCCCAAAGAATTATTTTTAAAAAAAAGTTTAACAGCTTACCCTTTCTGCTTCAAAGGTAATTCAAGTTTAAATATGGTAGCATCATTAACAACTGCTTTATACGCCTGCAAAAAGAACCCAATTTGAAACAGAATGGCATTTAATATTAAAAATATATAAATTACATGTTTAAAGAAACTAAGATGAACCAGGTGTTTTCTCATTTTTTTTTTTTTTTTGTTGTTGTTGTTGTTCTGTAACTGGATGAAGGCTGCAAGATTGAGTACACAGTCTATTACTGAGTTATATCTCCAGTTCAACTTTTATTTTTACTGGTACTCAATACTTTAAAAAAATTAAACAATATTATTGCTGTGGTGGGGAGAGGCACAGGCAGTACATGTATGCTGTAGTAGGGGGAGCTCCTCTACTTTAAGAGTTCTAGAGAAAACTCAGGCCAACATTCCCTTTCCAGGGTCCATTCCCAACAAATGACATATTCTCCCATCTCACTGAGAAAATGAAATGTCAGAAAATGCAAAATACAAATGCTCCCATGGGAAGCAAAAAAGCAACTCTCATAGAAACTCCACCAAAGGATGGAGGATGAAGCATCAACTCTGGATCACAGAGGTGCCTCATGCCCTCGTTTTCTTCCCCCAAAACAGGATTTCTCTGTGTAACTGTTCAAGCTGTCCTGGAACTCACTTTGTAGACCAGGCTGGCCTCAAACTCAAACTCACTGAGATCGGCCTGCCTCTGCCTCCCAAGTGCTGGGATTAAAGGCATGCAGCACCACCACCCAGCTTGATGCCCTCATTTTGAGAGAAGCACGTCTTGGAAGTTGTCTGCTGACTTCTCTACTCAGAGATGGCATGGCATGTACACCCTCACTCCCCCCACAAAATAAAAAAAAAATTATCAGCTCTATTTGGAATGAGCTATGGAGAGCAGGAGTGGATGGAGTAAGGAAGGTCTTAAAAGGAGAAAAAAATAAAAATTTAATTATCAGGAGCCTTCAAAACAAAGAGGCAACATTCATGGGAAACTAAGGGGAGAGCAGCTTCCTGGTTCAACTCTAGACCACAAGTATACCTGAGCCTTTCAGAAGCAAATACTAAACCAGATGTAATGAGTATCACTGCTGTCCACTACAGAAAATCAGGGCTCCCACATTTTTAGTTCTCATTTGTACCAGCATGATGCCACTGTTCATTAGGTCGACTGTAATAGTGCACCTTTTATACAAGATGTCCACAGAGAAATATTACCTTATCTCTTGCAGTAAGGAAACGAGGATCATCTTGAAAAGCTTCTTTGACCAGTTTACTGAATCTATTAAACAGAGTAAGTAATTGCTCCACATACTTCTCAGAATCCTGGAAACAGAAAGTTTTGCATTTTAGCTTTTAAAAGGATAAAATAGGAAACAATAAAGAACTATTCTGAGCTGGGCATTGGTGGCGCACGCCTTTGATCCCAGCACTCGGGAGGCTGAGGCAGGCGGATCTCTGTGAGTTCAAGGCCAGCCTGGTCTCCAGAGTGCCAGGATAGGCTCCAAAGCTATACAGAGAAACCCTGTATTGAAAAACAAAAACAAAAACAAACAAAAAAAAATTCTGAAGGGAGATCTTAATCAGTCTTAATAATAAAATCCTGGAGTCAGATATCAGGGTAAAAGCTGAAAGATCAGAGAAGTAAAAGACCAGCCATAGACACCTCTTAGCTCTCCAATTCCTCAAACTGAAAAGGGCCAAGCTCTTGTCCACCCTGCCTTATCACTTCCTGTCTCCACAGAACTTATCACTTCCTGTCTCCTTTCTACATAGACCTCCAGACCTATGGTTAACTAACTAGTGGCTAGCTCCAACCCTATGATCTTTAGGAAAGCCTTACTGGTCAGAACACAAACAAAATATCACAACACTATTCCAATAAAGACAAAAGTTTTAAAATTAGGGATTTGTTTTCCTTAAAAGTAAAACTGAATTGATATTCCAAATTACTGTTTCAATCACAACTTTAAACATGATTTTGGATGTACACAAATCACTATCATTGAAGGAACTTACAGTAGTGATGGTTTCAGCAGCAGCCACCATGTCAGCTAGGCCAGCACTAATGATATGCTCCTCCAAATCCTTCAACATTGGCTCTATCCCATTAGGAACTTTGTCCATCAATGAAAACATCAAATGTAACTCTGAAAGGACACAACACACTCATGTTATTACTTTATCCATTAAATTTCTTGATTAATGTCCATAGCATTTTTGTTTTTTGACGGGTCTCAAAAAACCCTGGCTGGCTAAGAACTTACTATATAGAGTAGGATGCCCTCAAACCCATAGAAACCTGCCTTCTGCTGACTCCCAGTGAGTGAGGCACTACAAGCAGCTATGTCTTCAGTAGTAACATCCTGAAGAAATGTTACTTGGGAGTTTGAAATATAGTATTAGTATCCTATGGCTATAATCTGCTTAGAAATGAAAATAGTTTTCATTCAAACACTTAATTAAAAGTGATCTTTTATTGCCAATAAAACTCCAATAAAATGAATGTTTTATTAAAAAAAAAAGTGCTGGATGTAGAGGCAGACAGGAGGACTGATATTTCATGGGCAATCTAGAGTAAAGCAGGTTCTGGAGTAGCCTGAGCTACAAAGTAAGATCATATATCATGAGGGAGAGGGAGAATACAAATTTTCACAGAAGACTACAATTCATAAAGTAAGTGCAATGTTAAAAGGACTAAAGACAAGGATTATATAAATTTGTTTTTACAGTTAACATAAAACTGTATTCATAAAATTTATTAATGCATTTAACTGACATTCACAAAGCCTTACTTCACAGTACTGATCACTAAATGAACTGTTTTTGCAGAATTCAATATGGATGTAACTGTTTAGGTCGGTACTATGTCTACAAATGTGGTACACAAGGAAGAGGTCAAAGCCATTCCCAGCTGCATGGCAATGCTGGCGCTACCTGGGACACATGGGACTCTGACTCAAAAGCCAAATGCTGAGTTGAGTTTCTTTCTTTCTTTTTTTTTTTTCAAGACAGGGTTTCTCTGTGTAGCTTTGGAGCCTATCCTGGCACTGGCTCTGGAGACCAGGCTGGCCTCGAACTCACAGAGATCCACCTGCCTCTGCCTCCCGAGTGCTGGGATTAATGGCATGTGCCACCAACGCTCGGCTTAAATACTGAGTTTCTTAAGTGAGCTGAAATACATCCTTTAAAGGTAGCTGCAGATAACTTAGTAGTTAAGAGCATTGGCTGCTCTTCCAGAGGTCTTGAATTCAATTTCCAGCAACCACATGGTAGGTCAGAACCATCTGTAATGAGATCTAATGCCCTCTTCTGGCATGCAGGTATACATGCAGATAGAGCACCATACATATCACATAAAATAAATAAATAAATAAATGTATCTTGGGGGCTGGACAGGATGGCTCAGTGTTTAAGGGCACTGACTTCTTCCAGAGGATCTGGGTTCAATTTCCAGCACCCACATGGCAACTATCAATGGTTTATAACTCCAAGATCTGATACCCTTATACAGACATACATGAAGGCAAAAGCAGCTACAGACTACATTTAAAACACAGACACAGTACTATCTGGACAATGCACATGAAATATTAAAATTGGTTTCTTCAGGGAAGTAAACCTAAAGTAATTTTTTTCATGTTTATTATATACCTGCTACTTCCCAAAACACATAATTAAGAAAACAATAATGTCGTGGAAAAAGAATAACCCTTTTTTCCTCTGGTTTGTGGGGTTTTTGTTTGGTTTGGTTTTGGATTTTTGAGATAGGGTTTCTCCCTGTAGCCCTGACTGTCCTTGAACTCACTCTGTAGACCAGGCTGGCCTCAAAATCAGAGAGCTGAGATTAAAGGTATGTGCCACCACTAGCCAGCAGGATAAACATTAACATGGAATGTTTAAAGTTTTATACTAAAAATTATTTTCTTAGTATCTGTGTGTGTATACATGTGTGAGTGCAAACACTAAACATATGAAAGTCAGATGACAATTTGTGGGAGTCAGTTCTTTCCTCCCCTCATCTGTGCTCTGGAGGTTGAACTCAGCTCATCAGGCCTGCTGAGCCATTTTTATTATTTTATAAAAAGACTCACCAAATTTCTACACAAAAGTCAAATACTCAGTTGTATTTTTTTTTTTTTTAAAGGAAGCCGTTTCTAACAGCTCTGGCTGTCCTGGAACTTGCTCTGTAGACCAGGCTGGCCTCAAGATAACAGAGATCCACCTGCCTCTGCCTCCCTGGTGCTAAGAATAAAGGCTCAATTCTATACTGTATGTCTGTCTACATATTATATTAGCCTAAGTCAATAAATTATATGAGCAACTTCGGTAAAAGGTCAACTTTTACAGAAAAAAAGACAAAAAAAGCCTTCCAAAACAAGTAAGTGTTGGTATATACAGGAGGAAATTCACCCCAGTCTATAAGAATGATCCAGCAGCAATTAGGTGACTTGCTTAAGATACTCTGTAGCACAAAAAAATAAATGACCCAGAGACTGATACTGGGCTTTAAGGTTCAAGCTGAAGATCAGAAAAGCAAAGCAGACAGCCACTAGCTGTTACCTATACCTCAGCTCAGACCAAAGGGGCGATCCTCAGACTGCTCCCGACTTCACTGCTCCTTAGGTTCACTCAGACTGCTATGTTCTTCTCAACAAGGCTGGAGACTCCTGAAACTGAGTACCAACTCTGAGACCTTGCTCCTGTCTTAAATATCTTCCTAATGCTGGCATTAAAAGGATGAATTCTGTTACTCTTTACTCTTGTGTAGACCATAGTGACATTGAACTAACAGAGATCCATCTATCCATTAATTCTGAGTCCTGGGATTAAAGGTGTGTGCCAACACTGTCTGATCTCTATAGCTTGAGGCTGGTTTTGCTTTCTGAATCCTCAGGCAAACTGTAATAAATCATAAACAACGATATTCTCTTAAAAGGTTCTTTATCTTTCTGTATGATTTTACCTACTTTCAGTTTCATTTCGTTTGATCATGCCTTGGCATTCTGCTAAAATAGTCTCTTTAAATGAGGTCACCAGCGCATTTACACAGCATTCCATGAGCTGAAAAACAGCAAAAACAATTAACAGCCAATAAACATTACAGAATATGCACAAATGAAATCATATTAGTTCAACAGTAAGAAAAAGATTATCTGAGATTACTTCATGTGGGGTTACTGTTAATATATGCATGAATGAATAACACCACAATTCTTTACCTTAAAATGTAATTCTCCAAGAAAGAAAGAAAATTAAAAATATACAAAAATCCAAAACAAAATGAACTTTGGTTAGCTCCTCCTAGCTGGTAAAATCTGTAGTAGAATTGTAATTCTCCATATAATTAAAAAACAATAATACATTCTACAAACCACTGTGTGATGTCTAGAATAAGTGGGTACCTAGTGCTCGGAGGACAAGTAACAGCTGGTGCCTGTTCAAGACGATGTGAGTAACAGGTAGGGGATATATTATCCTCCTGGGCTGGAGAGATGGCTCAGCAGTTAAAATGGCACTTGTCACTGTTGTTGAAGTCCAGGGTTTAATTCCCAGCACCCACACAGGGGCTATAACAGTCTGTAACTCTAATTCCAGATATCTGATACTCTTTGTGGGATCTATGGCACTGCACATACACAGTGCACACACATGGTGCATACACATGCATACAGGCAAAACACCCATGTGTGCCATCAATATAATCAAAGGCTTTTCTCAAGGTAGGCTCTACCACTGAGCTATACACCCAAACCTTTTCCCTATTTAAGTATTTATTTATTTATTTATTTTGGAGTTTGAGACAGGGTTTCTCTGTGTAGCTTTGTAAACCAGGCTGGCTTCAAACTCAGAAATCCCACTGCCTCTGCCTCCCGAGTGCTGGCATAAAAGGCGTGCACCACCACCGCCCGGCTCCTTATGTATTTTTGAGACAGAGTCTGGCTAAGTAAATCTGGCTGTCCTGGAACTCACAGACATGTCCCCTAAGTACTAGGATCAAAAAAAAAGTGTGTGCCAAACTACACCCAGACTTGGACTTAAATTGGATTTTGAAAAATAAGTAGTCCTAAAACAGATTATGCCTTCTAGGGATAATAAAGGAGACACAGTAAAGAAAGGAAGTAGAAAAGTGAGGTGGAAGCAGAATGAAAATCTATATCATGGTTTTTATACTTAACTAGTAAAGGAAAAACCAGAGGGAAAAATTTTTTTTCAAGAAAAGGTTTCTCAGCCGGGCGTTGGTGGCGCATGCCTTTAATCACAGCACTCAGGAGGCAGAGGCAGGCGGATCTCTGGGAGTTCAAGCCCAGCCTGGTCTACAAGAGCTAGTTCCAGGACAGCCTCCAAAGCCACAGAGAAACCCTGTCACGAAAAACAAAAACCAAAAAAAAAAAAAAAACAAGGTTTCTCCATGTAACAGCTTGGTTGGGCTGGAACTCACCAAAATCTGTGTTCTGAGATAAAAGGCTTGTGCCACCAGTGCCTGGCAAACGAGAGAAATTTTAAACAGAGTCTAACATAATTAGAGTCTCTTCCTTTCAAGTGACCATTAAAGATCAGTGCAATGACAATAAGCAGGAGATACGGGGTGGCAGAAGGGTTGGTGAAAGAAGCTGCTGAAATACATCAATGGAGAGGACAAAGGTCATGGATTATAGAAGACCATCAAGGAAATCTCCTGACAAGGGCAAACAATTTATACCATCACCATTTTCTCACTGCCAAGAAATGTATCCTCCTGTAAGGATCAAAGCAAGATGTGATGTGTGTGATCCCAGCACCCAAGATTTGAGCAGAAGAACACTGAGTTCTAGCCTACCCTCACTCAGAGACCCTGTCACAAACAAATGTTATAAACATAAAAGTAAAATATGCAAAAGCTAATATATCTCTTTTGAAATACCTAAACAGATCATTACCTATAGACAGGAAATGAATTATGTGTCTTAAAAATCTGTTCAAAATTGCCCTTGAAATTAATATAATATTGATAATCACTGAATATGGAATAGGTAAAGGGGATTCATTGTGGTCCAAACACTTGAGAGGATTAAGCAGAAGGAGCTTGAATTCCAGACAGCTGAAGCAAAATCGCAGACTATTTTTTAACAAAACACAAACCACTCTTCCTACTTCTTACAGATTTTGTATTAAAAAAACTATACTAATGACTATCTATCCCGTTTCTAGCATAGAAAAATAATACACACATTGTTAACAACTTCTTGCCCAATATGACCAAAAAAAAAAAAAAAAAAAAAAAAAAAAAAAAAAAAAAAACCAAACAAACAAAAGGCCAGGCAGTGGTGGCACATGTTTTAATCCCAGCATTCAGGAGGCAAAGGCAGGCAGATCTCTGTGAGTTCGAGACCAGCCTGGTCTACAAGAACTAGTTCCAGGACCGCCCCCAAAACCCCAGAGAAACCCCTTCTCGGGGAAAAAAAAAAAAAAAAAACCTGTTTCTGAGTTCAAGGTCAGCCTGGTCTACTACACAATTTCTAGGACAGCCAGGATGACAGAGACAAAACATTGTCAAAGATTACTAACATAAATCCAAGAGAAAAAAAAAAATAAGCAAGACAAATTACAAAAAGAAGAAACACTCCTTATTGTAGCAGAGTGACAATTACTGAATATTACTAATCAGATCTACTCATATAGTTCAAGCCGGTCTTTGTATTCATGGTTCACAAGTGTGTGCCACTTTGTCCAGCTATACTGAATAATATTAAGTATGAATATAGGAAGAGGACAGATTTTGAAGCGCTTTGCATTTTTTTTTTTTTTTTTTTTTTAATACTTGGACACAGGTCTGTGAAAACCCTGGCTGTCCTGGAACTCACTATGTAGACCAGGCTGATCTGATCACCTGCCTCTGACTGCCAAGTGCTGGGATTAAATAATTGGTTCTTAAATAAAGAGATAAAGTATCACCTAAAAAAAAGTAAGACGGGTAGTGGTGGCACACACCTTTAAACTCCAGCACTTCGGACGCAGAGGCAGGTGGATCTCTGTGATATTGAGACCAGACTGGTCTACAGAGTGAGTTCCAAGACAGGCTCCAATGCTACACAGAAAAACCCTGTCTCAAAAAACAAAAATCAAAAAAAGAGGCATTAAGGATATCAAAACAAAGCCTTCTTATAAGAAACTGTAAACAATGAAAAAAAAATGGCTCTATCTAGAAAACTAGATAGATATATTACAGCGTCTTTGTACTGTAATGTTACAGTACAATGGTGAGTCTATACATATATAAAGATAGTATATATACACATAGATATATCTGTATATATACACATATATAAAACATCAAAACTTTTTAAAAATTAGTACAAAAGGAAAGAGGCAAATGAGTATAATAAAATGAAACTGTAGAATCTGGAGGTAGCATATTCACTATGCCAGTACTTCTCAATTAATAAATATGAGGGCCAGGGACTGGGTCAGTTGGCAGAGTGTTTGCCTAGCATGCAGGAGGATACAGGTTTGATCTTCGGCACCACTAGAAAACAGAGACAATATAAAAAGTGTGTTTGAGAGGTTAGGGGGTGGCTACAGAGCCTGATGACTAAGTTTGATCCTTAGAACCCATATGGTAGAAAGAGGGAATCAATTTCTGCAAACTATTGAGCCTTCATTGTCATTAAGCCTGTGATGTTCTCACACACACACACACACACACTCACACACACACTCACACACACACACACGTAATTGAAGAGTAAAAGAGAGAGAGAGAGAGAGAGAGAGAGAGAGAGAGAGAGAGAGAAGCATTAACTATTAAAAACTCATGAAAAGTTTTTCACCGGGCAAGAGATTGCCAGATTGCTTCAAATAAGTTTCATCCAAGAATTCAGATTCTTGAGAAGGGACCATTTAAAACTCTTTTATATTTCTTCTCTACCATCTACCAAAGTACTACTTACATAGCTGATCCTAAATACATACTATGTGAAAAACATCCTGAATGAAAATGACAGAGATAAACCACCTCCCTCACCTTGGATTCCTTTCTTTGTTTCCATTTGCTAGCTTTTTGCAAATGCCATCAATTTCTCTATCTACTTCTCTGAGATGATCACAAGTTTAATTCCATAGTAATCTCTCCCCAGGGGTGTGCAAGGTGAAACGCTTTATCAATGTGCTGAATGTTTAACCCCAGAACTAGAAAGACTTCCATGAGCATAGCTGGCACTTAAAAGGCAGAAGAAATGTATTCAAGGGTGTTTGAAGTGAAAGACGAGGCAAGAGGGGGTAGCTTTTTCTTTTAGAGGATTCTATTAATTGCAAAATAAAATATATAAATAATAATTTGTACGCCGGGTGTTGGTGGTGCACGCCTTTAGTCCCAGCACTCAGGAGGCAGAGGCAGGTGGATCTCTGTGAGTTTGAGGCCAGCCTGGTCTCCAGAGTGAGATCCAGGATGGCCTCCAAAGCCACAGAGAAACCCAATCTCAAAAAACCAAAAAAAAAAAAAAAAAAAAAAAAAGGTTTTCTCAGCTGTATAATAAGACTTGAACTAAAAGTTATCTAAGCTTACTCTATTTAAATTTTTGAATTTTGGTTGAATTGGGTTTCTCTGTCACTTTGGAGCCTATCCTGGAACTTTTTATTGAGGGGGGAGCACATGTGTGGAAGTCATAGGACAACTTGCAGGAGTTGGTTTTCTCCTTCTACCATGTGGATCCTGAGGACTAAACTTGTCAGTAGGCTACTTGCTAGCCCAGGACTCTGCTTTAACACTATCAAAAGTCCCTCAACCAAACAAGTATGTACTTGTGAGTTAATTCATTTTATGCATGACAAGCTATTCTCAAAAGCAATTTTCTTTGCTTCTCCAGCTTACGATCTTTTCCATCACTGTAACTAGAGGCATCTGCTGCATTTCTAAACTACACAACCATGTTCATCATTATGTTCTGTGTGGGATTTTGGGTGATAGGGATCGAACCCAGGGCCTTTTTAAATTTTTTATTTTTTATTTTTTGGTTTTTTGAGACAGGGTTTCTCTGTACAATAGCCTTGGCTATCCTGGAACTCATTCTGTAGACCAAGCTGGCCTGGAACTCACAGAGATCCTCCTGCCTCTCAAGTACTGGGATTAAAAGTGTGCCCCACCACTGCCTGGATGTACTTTTATACAAATTTAGAAAATGTTTTAGACTTAGTTGCTCTGTAACACTGCAATTCACTTGCATTACAAGCGCTGTACCCACTGAGACCCCTCACTAGGCCATGAGTAATTATAATCATGGCATACTGTTTAAAAAACATAAAATGGCCCTGTCTTCTGTAAAAGCCCAAGCTTGGCTACAAATTTCTATAAAACTTTGCCATAAACAACCACTAAATCAGCTCAACTTTTAACCCTTTTTTGTATGAAAATTACTTTAACTACTAAAATCCATATAAATCATGGATACCAATCATGAAAAAAAAAAAAAAAAAAAAAAAACAGCCTTCTTCTGTAAGAAAAACAGGGTTAAAGATTCTACTCAGTGTGATATTTGTTCCAAGACTAAAATTAGGATGACCATCAATCAAGGTGGAAGAATTTTTTTTAAAAGTCATGAGTAAAACTCCACTGATAAAGTCTTTTTAGATATGTATAGAACATGTGTTTTTGACACAAATAAAGTATACTTAAGGAACATGACTAAAGGATAAAAACTATACATCACTCACGGGAAAGTCTAGAAAGTTGAAACTAAGATACCTTTGCAGATGTATTTTTTCACTGGGGAAGAACATTCTAACCAATTATCAATACTAGTTAAAGATATAAAAAAGAGAAGTGTGGCAAGCTGGAGAGACGGCTCAGCAGTTGTGACCACTGATTGCTCTTCCAGAGGATGCAGGCTTCATTCACAGCATCCACATGTGACTCACAACCACCCCTAACTCCACTTCCCAGGCATCCAAGACCCTCTTTTGACCTCCACAGGTAACATACACACAGTTCACATACACACATGCAGGCAAACCACTAAAATATATGAAATAAAGTAATTTTTTTAAAAAAAAGAACAAAAGAGGTGATGCCATAGTGTCTGCTTTTGTCATTCCTGTGCTACATTACTTTAGAAAATCCCAGAAAGTACACAATCACATTACTTACTGCTTCAACAGAGTTACATTCTCGTCTTGTTTCTAAGTAACGGAGTGCTCTTTTTTCTTCTTCTTTTAATTTAGCATCTGCCTGTCCAGAAGCAAAATAGCAATCATTTTAAGAATACCATGGGACTAGCTGAAATTGTGAAATGCACTGAATTCTGACTTACATATTTCATGTAATTCTGCACACCATTTTGCTGTAAATACGAGGGTGCCTGTGTTCTATAAAATCTCTCCGTTGAGTCCAAGTAAGCCTTCTCAAAATTATCCCTATAGATCTGAAGCTTGTCCTCAGAATTAGAACAAAGATTAACTGAAACACAGAAAATAAAGTTGTTTTAAATTTTTAACTATGACAGATGAGTAACATAATGAAGTATGGTTATGTGAGTCTAGAGAAATTCCAATTATCACAGCACAGAGCAGTAAACTAACAAATATTAAAGAGACTGCCTTCTAAAATAATGATCAAGAAGCCATCCATAGAACAGATGGCATTTGAATGCAATTTTCAAAAAAAAAAAAAAAAAAAAGGATTTCCAAAGTCAGGATAAGAATACCCACAGGAGGAGCCAGGCGTTGGTGGCGCACGCCTTTGATCCCAGCACTCGGGAGGCAGGGGCAGGTGGATCTCTGTGAGTTCGAGGCCAGCCTGGTCTCCAGAGTGAGTACCAGGATAGGCTCCAAAGCTACATAGAGAAACCAAAAAAAAAAAAAAAAAAAAAAAAAAAAAAAAAAAGAATACCCACAGGAGGTAGTGGCACACCTTTAACCCTAGCACTAGGGAAGGCTGAGGCAGATGGATCCCTGTGAATTCAAGGACAGCCTGGTCTACACAGCTAGTTCCAAGACAGTCAGGGCTATTACACAGAGAAACCCTGTCTCAAAAAAAAAAAAAAAAAAAAAAAAAAAAAAAAAACAACAAAACAAAAAACTCTGCCTGAAAGAAATTCAATACCCAGAAGCACAAATGCACAACTGCACTAACCATGCATGCTGCCTAGTAGGAAAAGTGAAGAAAAGTATAGAAAGCCTCAAATCTGAATTTAGCATGAGATACCCCTGAAAGGGTAGGAAGTAGAGGCCTCATGTGATGGTTCACAGGTAAAGACACTTGCTGCCAAACCTCATGGCTTGAATTCAATCCATGGAGACCCACACAGAAGGAAGAACTGACTCCTACAACTTAGTCTCTGACCTACACAAACACACAGAGAGATCAAGGCACACACATGTCCACACACACAAATAAATAAAAACAAAATAAAATGGGAGCTATAATTCATTAGCAGAGTGAAAACTTATCACGTATGAGGCCTAGATTTAATTTCCAGTGTGGAAAAAAAATTAAGATCATTTTTTGTGAGAGCTTCATATTGATTCCTTTCCATCTTGACTTAAGGTCAGATGTTTAGACAAAGGCTTACTAGATGTTTTGAGAATTAAGGAGGCAGTTGCAAAAGAAAAGGTTCAGAATTATGGAATTACTCATACCTCACCCATCACAAAAAAATTTTTGTTTCTTCACTAGAGCATACGAGAATTATGGTATTAGCCTGTTAATATTTGTAACCTCTTCTGTTCACAATGAAAGTGTTACTGGATGGAAAACAGAGCTCATCTGAGAGGAATTAGAGTCAATGTGATTTTAAAAAAAAAGCAGATTTGGATTTTGATGCAGCAACTCCTGGAGACATCGTGGATCAACTTGAAAAGGGCATTCCATCTTGGTCATCCTTTACTCCTTTATTAGGAAGTATTTCAGCCATAGGAGCATGTGTATTGCGAGGCATTCTTTGCTTGCTTATGATTATCAAGTTACTTGTGAACTCTTGATGGAAAGTTGCTGCAGAGGTACGTAGCATCAAGCTATACACTCTCCCTTAACCCTTTATAAACAGGCTTTATAAACGTAGTCAAAGACGGGTAAGATCTTATTGCATCAAGTCTACCTAACACAGGGCACACATAATGGAATGTGAGTGCCAAGGACAGGTAAGTCTGGAAGGTTGAAAAAGACAGCCTAAGACAGGTACAGTCATGTGTCAGAAGCACAGGCATTAAAAAATAAAAATAAAAAAGGGGGGGAAATGTGGGAGCCCCACAGCAACTCGATTCAATCTTGACTAAAGGTTAGAGAGTTCAAGCTTTTCTTGCTCCTCAAGGCAAAATAACAGGATGACTTACTAATGACATGGTAACTAAATGTTTTGAGAATTAAGGAGGCAACTGCACTTGTTTGTTCCTTGTCTCATGGTAAGGAAGTCTTTTGCTGCCCCCCCCCTCCCCGCCCTTGCTTTGGGTATAAAAAGGCTGTGAGAAATAAACTCAGGGCGGCTGCAGTGACGACTGCGACCCCTCCCGATTCTGTCTTCTCTCTTTTGTCTCTTTCAATCCTCATTCCCCTCAACAGGTCGGCTGGCCCCACCACATTTCAAAAGTCTAAGATGTAGAATTTAAAGAGCTCTAAACCAGTGGCAGCTGAAATAAAAAGGAACAATTTCAAAGCATATATTAATGAAAAAACTGAACACTTAACAAAAGCACAGAAACTATATGGGGAAACCATTTAAAAATGACTAAAGGTCATTAAATTCATGACAATTTCATGTGATATATACTATATTCAGTAAAATGAAGCATTAGTAAGACACTTAAGCAAATTATGCCAGGGAGGCACATTTACTATATGAATCACTAAATGTGAGGACATAACCTAGTCTGAAAATTAGGGACATTCTCCATGAGAAAATGAGGGATACGAACGAGTTTGAAGATGAGGAGATATTCTCTAAGTCCGAGGAAACAGGGTATTTGAATAGGGCAGATAATGTAACTGTTAGAAGCTGAGGAGGCAGAGAATACACACAGGAAAGTAACTTCTGAAAATAGCAACACAAAAGAAAGTTATCTTTTATGAGCTGTAGGTTTGTACTTTAGTTTTCTAGTTTAGGACACCAGAAAGTTTTTAGCCAAGACGTTAATAATGAATATGAAAAATTGAATTTGAATTTAGCAGGTTTCTTTGACACAGAATCAACAGCATTTGCGTATTATTAAAATAAAAAAAATATGGTACAAGAAGTAGATGTCAGTCTGGAATAACTATAATATCCTCAGATTTCTAGGAGGGAAATTTAATTATAAAAGTTGAGAACATACCATAGGACTCTCGAACTCCTATGACCAGCTGAGAATCAAAAGCTTCCCCTAATCTCTCAGCATGCACCAGCTTCATCGCACTATCCTGCAGTCTGTTTTTTATATTTGAAAAAATTGACTCATTCCACGTATCAAGCATGAGCTGGGAAAGTAAGAAAATACATCATCATTTCTGGTTCTTCACATGTCAAGTAGCACATAAGTTTCAGGATACATGGTAGAAAAGGAAACCCTAGGTCTGCAATGTTGAATGCTTTAGGAAGTCACACATTTAACATAACAGTAAAGAACTGAGGCTGGCATAGTGAGTGATGCCCGCCTTTAATCCCAGCACTCAGGAGGCAAAGGCAGGCTGATTTCTTTGAGTTCAAGGCCAGCCTAGTCTAAAGATCAAGTTCCAGGACAAGACTCCAAACTTACAGAGAAACCCTGTCTCAAAAAAACAGAAAATAAATAAATGAATAAATAAGCCAGAAACAAACAACCAAAAATAAAATGCTTCAAAATAGAAGTTATTTTCTTTCCCAGGTTTATAATATCCACCCAAATTTCTGTTGTTATAAAAATTAAATATAGTAACACATGGAAAATTGTGTTTAGAATGTTCATATGCATGCTTGGGCTACTGATCTTAATAAAAAAAGTGCACATCCACCTACTAGCTGTCTATCAAAATTACAGAAATAAAGTACACTGGTAAACAAGGTTGCTTCCAGTAACTTTGTCAGACATTTATTAGGAACACTAAGATAAAAAGGGTTAACAATTCTGTACCTCTCACACTGTACCTAGGACTGAGCTAGGTAATACCCACAGTCCTTAAGTAGAAACTACTATGATCTCCTGTTTATATGTGACAGCTGGGACTCAGCAGGCAACACTAACACGCTCATATTCAAAAACAACAAATATGGTTTTGCCCCAAGGCAAAAAAAAAAAAAAGATAATAACCAAAACAATAACAACAAACCAAAGAGGATAAAAGTATGAGGCTACAAATTAATTAGCATCTTCAAAGGTTTTTTGCCTTTAAAAAGAAAATAAATGTCTCACTTTGCAGATATTTCTAGCACTGAAAAACCATTTATATCTAACTTTACAGTATCCCCACATAAAGTGAATTCTAGGAGTATGATGCCACGGTAATCATACCCAGACTAAACAATTCTACATTGATCTATTAATATACCGTTCATAGCAAACAGTATTTGAAGTTCTAATTTTTTATTTTCTATCCCTTCTCAGTGGTAGAACTTATGTAGCATGTGGGCTCACACCTGTAAGCTTTGGTTCCATTCATTCTCACTAGCAAGAAAGAAGTTGGCAAATGAATATGTCAATTTAAAAAAATAACTTAGGGTTGAAAGGAAGCTTGGGACACTCAGGGCTAGTTTTTGTCCATTATAGTTACCAGGCACAGGTTTTTAAAGTAGAAAATATGCAATATATAAAAGTAAGCATAGTACATACTAAGCTTAAAAAAACAGCACAAAGCAACTATAGAGACAGCTGATGAGCAAATTTAAACACAAAGTTAGAAGGTAATCTAATGAAAAGCTTTTTTTACAAATAGAAAACAAAAACAAGTAATTAATTCTCTGGAAGATAAAGTACAAAGAAATAGCACAGGGGGGGAAAAGGTACTGAAGATATAACTAGGAAAAGTTAAAAAGAAAAAGAACTGAGGAGGTAATGCTTGAAAACAGAGTTATAGTTTAAGACCACATAAAAAAGATGAAAGATGGAGCACGTGATGAAGGAGCCAGTCCTGCAGACCCAAAGCTGCAGGGTCTCCAAAGCACAGGGCAACAACAGGAGGTCCAAGAAGAGTGCCAGTGAGTGTCCAGCATTGATAGTGTAGCAGAAACCAGAGGCCTCGAACCAGACTAATGACTCTTTCCCATGAATACTTGCAAGTAACACTATATGGATACAAGGGTTTACTGGGTGACTCACTTTGTCACATGATTCAGCTTCAATGAAGAGATTTTGTTCCTTTCATTTTTTTCTCTTAAATTTTATTTTGTTTTATTTTGTGAGGGAGGTTGCAAGGGCAGAGGGTAAATAAGAAGAGAAGGGAAATGAGTGGGACAGAGCTACAAGAAGTGAAAAGACAAAAAGAAAGCAAATGAAAATGGAGCAAAACCTTTAAAAAAGCTTAAAGCTAAAATTTACAAAAGAAAATGCCTCACTAAAAATAAATGGTTAAATAGATTAGTAAATGGCTGGATGGATAGATGGATGAACAGAGTTAAAAAAAAAAAAAGTAAAATAAGTGAATGATCCTAGCTGGTCAGTGGGGGGCACACAGCTTTGATCCCAGCACTTGGAAATCAGAGGCAGAAGGATCTCTGAGTTCAAGATCAGTCTGGTCTATAGGACTGAGTTCTAGGACAGTCAGATCTGTTATACAAAGAAACCCTGTTTCAAACAAACAACAAAAATCCTAATAGCTATAAAGACCTATGTGAAGTGAAGTAGCAAAGCCTACATAAATTATAAAGTGCCTTCTTTCTCAATAAATTTAGGAAAACAATGGTAAAAGACCTACCTTTCTAACAATACTATCTTCCATATTTGACTTTTTATTGCTGCTTTGTTTACCCAATAAAGTAACCTCTAGTTGACAAAAAGGTTTTGGTAAAATATCACACTGTGTGAAGAATTTTCGCCACTCAACAATATATGCCTTTAGCAAAGCTGTGTCATCTTGATGGCTCAGGACACGCTGAAAAACAAAATTGTATCAATTTGAAATACTTAAGATGCCTAGAAAATAATAACAGTACAGAATAAAGCAATAATTTTTAATTTTAAAAATATATGATTTACTGTACAAAGTATTTAAGAGAAACTAGACACATGTCCTAACTATTAGGCACATAAATGTTCACAGCCATATTATTCAAAACAGTCAAAAAGTAGCAAATATATACTGAGCAGTGATGGTCCATGCTTTTAATCCCAGAACTGAGAAGGCAGAGGCAGGTTGATGTCTGAGTTCATAGCAGCCTGGTCTACAAACCCAAGTTCCAGGACAGCCAGGGCTACACAGAGAAACACAGTCTCAAAAACAGCAAAAGTAGTAAATGTTCAGGACCATTACCTGCTGAAGGATAAATAAACAGTATGTGGTACAGCTACACAACAGAACAGTACACAGCCAGAGAATGGAGCATATATAAGTCTTAAAAAAATGAAGACCAGTCATAAAAGGCCACAGGAGAACACACAAATTCAGAAACAGAAAATTCGTGGTTTACTGGTGAACAGCGTTTGATAGTACAATGTTTCTTCAGAAGGTGAGGAAATAGTCTGGAATTAGTGGCTGATACTCTATGAATAAACTAAAACTTTCTGTAACATACACGTGAAGTGAGATATTCTGTTTCTTAGTTGTTTGTCCCTTCTTTCCTATTCTGAGGCAGGGTCCCATTATGTGGAGGAGGTTGACTTCCCACACAAAGATCAGGCTATACCCTGAGTGCTAGGATTAAAGGTATGCACTACCACATCCAGTTAAGAGTGATTTTTTGTTCTGTTTTGTTTTTTGAGACAGGGCTTTCTGTGTAGCTTTGGAACTCACTTTGTAGACTAGACTGGCCTCGAACTTACAGAGATCCGCCTGCCTCTGCCTCCTGGGCACTGGGATTAAAGGCGTGCACCACTACCCAGCTAAGAGAGTAAATTTTTTTAAATTTATTTATTAGTTCTAGTTAGGGAACAAGCTTGTTTCACATGTAAGTCCCTTCTCCCTCTCCCTCCCCTCACCCCCATCCCTCCTCCCCCAGGAGTAAATCTTATGGTATGCAAATTATTTCTCTTTGAAGGTGCTGAAAGTGGTGCTGAAGTCATACCTAGAGCCTAAACGAAGCACAGGGAGGTAGATCTCTTTAGTTCACCGTCAACCTAATCTATATAATATATAACAGGATATCCAGGGCTGTGAAGAGAGACTATCTCAAAAAACAAAACAAAACAAAAAAACCTGGCTTGGAACTTGCCAAGTAAGCTAGACTACCTGGCTAGACTTGTCTCTGCATCCCCAATTCTAAGACATCAAATAAATGCCAACACGATAGGTTTATTGTTATCATTATTATTGCTGTCTTTATTTGTGTGTAGGAAATGGGTACATACCACAAAATACATGTGTAGTTGTGTATGTGTCTGTATACATGAGTGCTGGTGTCCACATAGGTTAGAAACATTGGATTTCCTGGAGGTAGAGTTACAGCAGTTAGGAGTATTTGATAAGGGTGCTGGGCACCAAATTTTGGTCTTTTGCAAAAGCAGTATATGTTCTTAAGCACTGAGCCATCTCTCTAGCACCAGATATATAGTTTTTAGAAGCAATCCAAGGGACTAGGCACAGTGTCATATACCTTTAATCCTAGCATTAATTAAGGAGGCAGAGGCAGGTAGAACTGAGGCTAGACTGGTCTACAGAATGAATTTGAGAACAGCCAGAGTTACAGTGAGGCCCTGTCTCAAAAACAACCAACCTACTAAAGCAAACAAAGAAAGAAGCCTAAGGATGGGGTTCTCACTGATGAATGCATGCTTACTAGCTAAGCATCTAAGGCTCTTAGATGCCAAGCACAAACAAGGAAAAAAAAATGTAAAATAAAGGTGGAAACATGCACAACTTACTGCCTGTGCTTGCTTAATAAATTCAAGAATATCTTCTTTTAAAGCCTGATGAATTTTTGATGAGCCTTTGTCATCCCAGAGACAGACTGCATGTACATCCCTGTAAAATTAAAGCAGGTGGGCAAACATCAGTAATGAAACAGGAACAAACAAGCAGAGACAAACATTCATCTCAAGCTCTATACAGTCCACATGGACCATGGTAAAATAATGTGCTAAAACCATTCACAAGAACAAAGCACTCTTTGTTAAGATCTCAAACAGGTAACTTTCTATTATTTCCATTGTTACTGCTTGCTTGCTGGTTTTTTGTTTTGTTTTGTTTTGTTTTCCTTTCCTAGACATGGTTTCTCTTCAAAATCCTGGCTGTCCTAGAACTCACTCTGTAGACCAGGCTGCCCTGGAAATCACAGAGACCCACCTGCCTCTACTACCTGAATTCGGAGATGTGTGTGTGCCACCATCACTTAGTGACTTTCCTTAATTCTCTATTTGTTACATAAGAATTCATTGCAAAAATATGTCTCTGTCTACTAACCACTATCCCCAAAGTTAATTACTATTAATATTTTCTTAGTCAGGAATGTAGTATCTGCCTGCAGTCCCAGCACTGGGAGGCAGAGAAAGGAGTACCAAACAAAAAAAGCTTGCCGAGTCAGCCAATTGAGTTGAATTGGTGAGCTCCAGATTAGGTAAGTAAAGAGGTATCACTTATTCTCTTCTACCTTCTGTTACAACTCTGATATAAAAGCAACGGGGAAGGCAAGGCATCCAAAGTCAATCTCTGGCCTCTGTATACACATGGGATACATACATACACATGTATTATCACACACACCCACACACCATTTCTAGGGATCAAACTCAGGTTCAAAAGCTTGGACAGCAAACACTGTATATACTGAGTCTTCTCCCTAGTCCCTAATACATTGATTGTGATTTTTCCATTCTCTATTACTACTTGGTAATTGATCTGGTAAGGCTTAATATGTACTAATGTTCCATGTTTTGAGTTTTTTGTTTGTTTAGTTTTTTGACACAGGTTTTCTCTGTGTAGTTCTGGGTGTTCTGGAACTTCTTCTGTAGACTACTATGGCCTCAAACTCTCCAGAGTGCTGGATTAAATGCATATGCCACCACCACCCGGAAACATTTTCCTGTTGTAACATAACTTATTCATAGAAGTTGTAAAACTTGAGGATTTCATAACACTCCATGTCTTTAATAGTTAGGTTATAAAGCTATCTTTCCTACTTAAAAAAAAACTTCTGGCTGGGCGGTGGTGGTGCACACACCTTTGATCTCAGTACTCGGGAGGCAGAGGCAGGCGGATCTCTTAGTTTGAGACCAGCCTGGTCTACAAGAGCTAGTTCCAGACAGCCTCACAAGCCACAAAGAAACCCTGTCTCGAAAAACAAACAAAACAATGCTTCTGTTCTTCTCACAGTGATGAATGAATGGAAAAACTCTACTGAATGGGGTATACTGATTTTATAATAAGAAAAATAAATTGAACACCTGGGAAGACAAAAGTTCAAGGAGAAAGAAGGATCACACCCTGCTTTCCAGAACTCCTGCTGAAAGCCTTCCCTTCTTAAAGAAAAAGGGCCAGAGTTGATTTTCTACACTGCTCTGTGTGCTTTCTATTCAGACTGCAAGCACACAACACACCTACTGACACTGACTTGGGACAGCTGGGATAACCCCCATCTCTTTCTGTACTTGCCATGTAGAACACTTGCAGTTTTTGTTTACCTTAGTTGTGTGACAGGTAAGCAACATAGGGACTAACACAGGAACCTGTTGTCACAGCCTGAGCTGAATTAGCTGGCTGAAGCACAAGGTGGATGGCTCAACAACAGTGTCAGAATCATTCACTGCTGCTACCTGACTAATGTAGGCTTTGCTTGCTATAGCCTAACAATTTAAAAATCTTTGTTTACAATGGTAATGTGTCCTCTAAAATTAAATATGCTTGTGAACATGCCCTGAACCAAACACTACCTCAACCCTGGAAGCCTTTCAGGCTTGCTTCAACTTAGGCTCTGTGCTTGAATTAATGCTTCAGGCCTTGGCTATATGTTCCTGTTCTTAACCTTTTAAGCCCAGTACTGGGATTAAACCAGGGTCTTGTTCACGTTAAGCAGGTACTCTACCACTGAGATACATGTGTAAACCAAAAGTTAGTTTTTAAAAGTGTGAGGGTGGGGACACTGGAGAAATGGTTCAGTGGTTAGAAATACTCATTACTCTCTCAGAGGACTTGGTTTCAGTTCTGTAATCCACATAGAGGATTACAATCCAAGGGGATCTGATATACTCTACTGGTTTCTACAGGCACTAGACATGTATACAATGTACGTGCATATATAAGGCAAAACAAACATATTAAATTAAATTAATCTAAAAAGTTCACATAGAAAGCAAAGGAGAGCTGATCAGTGGTGGCACAGGCCTTTAATCCTAGCATTCGGGAGGCAGAGGCAGAGGAGGGGCAGGCTGATCTCTGCAACTTCAAGGCCAGCCTGGTCTACAGAGTGAGTTCCAGGACAGCCAAAGCTACACAGAGGGGAAAAAAAAGAAAAAGTTAAGTGAAAGAGAAAGCCATTTGGCTTTCTAAGGTAAACTTTGTGGTTAATGGGGTTGTTTTAACTTGCTACACTGCCTCAAGGGGACTACTATTCAATAATTGTGCTGTAAAGAGATTTGGCCAAGGGCTAAGCAGTAAGTAACAAAGCACACCTAAGATTGCCATTTCTTGGCCAGGTGTTGGTGGCGCATGCCTTTAATCTCAGAACTCAGGAGGCAGAGGCAGGCGGATCTCTGTGAGTTCGAGGCCAGCCTGGTCTCCAGAGTGAGTGCCAGGATAGGCTCCAAAGCTAAACAGAGAAACCCTGTCTTGAAAAACAAAAACAAAAACAAAAACAAACAAACAAAAAAAGATTGCATTTCTTAGAAAACTCTGCTTGTAAGGTTGGCCTTTAATTGGTATCTGAGAACTTCCTGAAATGATAACACTGGTTCAGTGTACCTAAACTGTTCATATAAACGATTTATAATGATTTATACTGAATACTTACTTACTCTTCCTATGAGTTCAGAATTGAATGACTGTATGGCCACTGCCATTAACTCTTGGTAACACATCACATGTTGCCAATCTTTTTTTTTACTTTTATTTTTAAAGTCTTGGTGTTTTTGTTTTGGTTTTTAAGTTTTTTGTGATGGGGTTTCTCTGTATTCCTCTGACTGTCCTGGCACTTGCGCTATAGACCAGGCTGGCTTCGAACTCAGAGATCCGCCTGCCTCTGCCTCCCAAGTGCTGGTATTAAAGGTGTGCACCGCCATCGCCTGGTACATGTTTCCAATCTTGCTGCTGAAAAAATTAAATGTTCCAGGACTGGAGAGATAGCTCAGTAGTAAAGAGCACTTGTTGCTCTTACAGAGGACCTGAGGTCAGTTCCCAGCACCCATAAGGTAACTCACTAACTCCATTTCCAAGAGATCCAACACCCTCTCTCTTCTGACCTCCACCAGAACCAAGTACACATATGGTACACATACATATGCATGCAGCAAAATACTCATACACATAAGATAAACAAATCTAGGAACAATTTTAATGTCCAATATAAATTCTCTGAAAAAGGAGTCTTGGAAATTTGTGCTTAATCTTCTCCTTAAATCTCCCAACTGCAAACCACATGCCTTTCCCTGTAAGGTCAGGCTTGTGAGCTCACCTACCCAGTCGGGGAACCTGGAATGTATTAGGAATCCCCAACACAAGCAGTAGTATTACAACAGGTAAGCAGATCACATAAACGCATACTGTCCATCAGAGTATAAAAAGACACCAAAACCTGATCTGTTAATAAAATTACTGGATTACTTACGAAAACAGATCAAACCACTGCTGTTTTGTTACAGATTCCTGGCGTAAAAGCTTCAAAACAATTGGACGCATGAAATCCCACTTGTCTTCAAACTGCAGAGAACCTTTATTCTTAAAAACAAGAGATAAAGATTATTTAATTTTAAAGCAATTTTTAAAATCTCATACTTCTATTTAAAAATATGTAAAATCTTTTATGAGATACCAAGAACAAAGAGATCAAATTTAAAAACAGCTTTCCAGACTGGAGTTTCTTTTTTTCCTTTTTTATTAAATTTCTGCCATTTATTTTACGTACCAACCAGTCTTCCCTCCCTCCTCTCTTCCCATTCCCCACCCCCACCCCTCCTACATTCAGAAAAGGACAGGCCTACCATGGGAGTCAGCAAAGCATGGCATATTAAGTTGAGGCAGGACCAAACACCTCCCCCTGCATCAAAGCTTGCCAGGGACAAAAAGCCAGCTCATGTGCCAGGGACAGGTCCTGATCTCACTGCTAGGGGCCCCACAAACAGACCAAACTACACAACTGTCACCCACATACAGAGGGCCTAGGCGAGAACAGAGTTCTTACAAGCTTAATCTTACAGCAGAGAATCAGAAAAAGATAGTTACAAACAAAAATCCAGGCTGGATTATAGGCTGGAAGTAGAGTGCCCACTGTGCCTGAGGCCCTGGGTTTAATTCAAGAGTGGGGGACAGAAAGAGACAGCAATACTAAGATAGATTGCAAAAACTGTGTGAGTGAACAATCTTGGCTCCTTCAGGCAGATAATCCCTAACAAATGGAATGTATACCTAGTATGATGCTGAGAACCTTAGGTCTTGTGGATGCGATAAACTAACCAATATGGTTTTGGTAGGAAACTTGCCACGTCTACATGGTCTCAGAAGTAGGGGATGGCCAAATTTAGAAAGATTAACACTGTAACTTAGAGAGGGGCTTTAGGTCAATCTAGAAATTCGAAGCTCTCATGGAATCAACTATTTAAATCTTTGTGAAGAAATTCCATACAACCTGGCCAGAGAAAAGTAAGATAACCTTCCTGAGGCATAATTTGGACATGTTGTTATACACTAACATCAGAAATATCTGCATACTACAAGGAGGACAGCAGAAGCTATGCTTATGACTTCCTACACTCTGTCTTAAGCCTCTCCCCATTTAGGTGACCGTATGTTATATAACAGGTAACAGTGATTATACCAGTTTGCAGTAAATCCTGCTTCTATCTGGTGTTGGAAATGAGCAGGTATATTAGAGACTGAAACCTTTAATTTTGTAGCTATCCTATATTTCACACAAAGTAAAGCTGTCAGAATAGAAATGGCTCAGCAGTTAAGTGGATTGCTGCTCTTGCAGAGACCTGGTTCTTCTAGCTTCCAGGACATACATGGTGACTCACAACTATCTATAGCTCCAGATCCAAAGGATCTGACACCCTTTTCAGGCTTCCAGGAACATCATCAATGCATATGGTACACATACATGCACATAAAATAACCCTGCACATCAGCATTTTTTGAAAGGAAGAAAAAAGAAAGGCTGGGTGGGTGTGTTGGCACTTGCCACTAAGGTCAGCCTGCCACAAGGCCAGTCTGGTCTACTTATGAAGTTCCAGGACATCTAAGACTACACAGAGAAACTGCTCAAAATAACAAAAGAAACCCGCAACAAAAGCACAGCTGTCAATGCTTGGGGTATAAGTATGAAGTTCTGAGTTCAAATTCCCAGGACCCTCATAAAAACCCAAAGATGGCATGAGCTTGCCAATAATCCCAGTATTGTGGGATAGAGAAAGGAAGACCACTGGGGCTTGCTGGCAACTAGCTAAGCTCCAGGTTCAATGAGACACCCTGAACTTGGGTATAGCCACAAGGATATAACCTGAGATATAGCCTCAAGAGAGTTAAGTATAAAGTAATAAGGCAGGACATTCAACATCCTTCTCTGGCCTCTGCACCCACACACATATGTGCAGACACACCACATAGTCCACATTCCCTATCCCCCACCTCCCACAGAAGGATGGAGTCCACAGTCTTTCATGGATACTAAAATCTATGAATGCTCAAGTCTCTTAGGTAAAATAGCAAGTGTTTTGTGATTTTTGTGAATTGTCTTTAAACCATCTTTACTTTTTTCTGCTGTGGAACATTACTGTACACTGTGTAAATTATGCTCTGATTGGTTTAATAAAGAAGCCAGCCACTAGAGCTCTTTAACCTCTATGAAATCCTCACACTGAAAAGAGATGGAGCTCCTGTCTCCTCTTGCCCTATACTCCTCCCTCAACCAAGCCCTAACACTTCCTGTCTGTCTGTACAGACCTCCAGGCCGCTGTATAGCTCCACCCTCTGATCTTCAGGCAAGCTTTGTATTTTTTGTTTGTTTGCTTTTTGGGGGGATTTCCAGACAGGGTCTCTCTGTGTAGCTCCAGCTGTCCTAGAACTAACTCTTATAGACCAGGCTGGCCTCAAACTCACAGAGACCCATCTGCCTCTGCCTGGCAAGTGCTGGGATTAAAGGCGTGTGCCACCATTGCCCAGTTGCAAGCTGTATTTTATAAGAGTACAAACAAGATATCACATTTCCCCTTTTTTGTTTAAAGCAAAAGTTATAACCAATATAAGAAAAACTATATACAACTATATATCACATGCAGGCAATAAATATATCAACAATGTCTAGTCCATTAACAAATGACAAATTCAGAGAAAATTCTACATTATCTGTACTATTCTGGTGAGTTCAAAAGGCTGTACCTAAGTCACTTTATATTCTAACATGCAATACCAAGACTATCTTTTTATGTTTCTCAACCTTATACAGTTTACATTTCCTTTATGAGTTTCTTTTCTGAATCTGTTAACAAGGAAAACTATAACTCTAATGTCTTCAACTCCATCAAAGATCCAAGATGGAAATAATATTACCTGAGAAATGAGGAAGTGCAAGCAAGCAATTTCTTAAAAATGTGAGCAATGACAGAGACAGCTGGCTGCTGAACAGTCATCCAAGGTAACTCTGCAGCATTGTTGGAGCATCCATATTTGGCCAATAGGCCTAGCATACCTGACAGAGTATTCTGTGAAGCAGAATATTCTGAAGAGCTGTCCTTCCTTGTCTTGGCAAGTTCGGCAGTCGTTTCTTTTTTTGTCCTGCTTGTCCAATTTGGACAGAATACTGTCAATAGTCCAGGAAGGAGCATTTTCTTGCCCATGGCTTACTTTTGTCACAAAGAAAGTATAAACTCTATTGTATATTTTGGTGATCAGCCCTCTGTCAGATGTGGGGTTGGTGAATATCTTTCCCCAATCTGTGGGCTGCCGTTTAATGTTGTTTACTGTGTCCTTTGACTTACAGAAGCTTCTCAGTTTCAGGAGGTCCCATTTATTAATGTATGTGCTACTGGCATAATGTTCAGGAAGCGGTATCCTATACCAATTTGTTCAAGGATATTTCCTATTTTCTCTTCTAAAAGGTCGAGTGTGGCTGGATTTAAGTTGAGGTCTTTGATCCATTTGGACTTAAGTTTTGTGCATGGTGATAGACATGGATCTTTTTGCAGTCTTCTACATGCCAGCATCCAGTTATGCCAGCACCATTTGTTGAAGATGTTCTCTTTGTTCCATCCTATAAATTTGGATTGTTTATCAAAAATCAGGTGTTCGGAGGTGTTAATATCAGGGTTTTCGACTCTATTCCATTGGCCTACCTGTCTATTTTTGTGCCAATAACAAGCTGTTTTCAGGACTATAGATCTGTAATAGAGCTTGAAGTCAGGGATGGTGATGCTTCAAGAAGTTCCTTTATTGTACAGGGTTGTTTTGGCTATCCTGGGTCTTTTGTTTTTTCATATTAAGGTCGGTGAAGAATTGTGGGGATTTTCATCAGGATTGCATTGAATCTGTAGATTGCTTTTGGCAAGATTGCCATTTTTACTATTTTGATCTTTCCTATCCAAGAATATGGGAGATTCTTCCATTTTTTGGTATCTTCTTTAATTTCTTTCTTTAAAGACTCAAAATTCTTACAGGTCTTTCACTTTTTTGGTTAGCATTACCCCAAGGTATTTTATATTGTTTGTGGCAATTGTAAAGGGTGATGTTTCTCTGATTTCTCAGTGAATTTATCATCCATATATAGTAGGGCTACTGATTTTTTTGAGTTAATCTTTTTTTTTCTTCAAAGATTTATTTACTATATATACAGTATTCTGCATGCATTTATGCCTGCATGCCAGAAGGCACCAGGTCTCATTACAGATGGTTGTGAGCCACCATGTGGTTGCTAGGAATTGAACTCAGGACCTCTGAAAGAGTAGTCACTATTCTTAACCTCTGAGCCATCTCTCTAGCCCTTGAGTTAATTTTGTATCCTGCCACTTTGCTGAAGAGGTTTATCAGCTGTAGGAGTTTCCTGGTATTGTTTTTTGGGTCACTTATATAGACTACCATATCATCTGCAAATATTGAAAGCTTGACTTCTTCCTTTCCTATTTGTATCCCCTTGATCTCCTTTTGTTATTACTGCTCTAGCTAGAACTTCAAGGACAATATTGAAGAGGTATGGGGAAAGTGGAACGCCTTGTCTTCTTCTTGACTTTAGGGGAAACACGTTGAGTTTCTCTCCACTTATTTTGATGTTGGCTGTTGGCTTGCGGTAAATTGATTTTATGTTTAGGTATGTTCCTATTAGCCCTGATCTCTCCAAGACCTTTATCATGAAGGGGTGTTATCTAGTAAGATGACCATCTGGTTTTTCTTTCTCAGTCTATTTATATGGTGGTCTAATTATATGGTGGATTACATTGATGGATTTTCGTATGCTGAATTATCCTTGCATCCCTGGGATGAAGCCTACTTGATCGTGGTGGATGATTTCTCTTGATGTTTTTGGGTTCGATTTGCCAGTACTTTACTGAGTATTTTTGTATCGATATTCATGAGGGATATTGGTCTGTAGTTCTCTTAGTTTTGTCTTTGTGTGGTTTGGGTACCAAGGTTATTGAAGCCTCATAAAGAATTTGGCAATGACCCTTCTGCTTCTATTGTGTGGAATATTTTGAGAATTGGTATTAGCTGTTCTTTAAATTTCTTGTAGAATTCTGCACTGAAGCCATCTAGCCCTGGGCTTTTTTTGGATGGGAGACTTTTGATGACTACTTCTATTTCATTAGGGGTTATAGGTCTATTTATATTGTTAATCTGTTTTTGATTTAATTTTGGTAAGTGAAATCTATCCATAAATTTTTCCATTTCCTTTAGATTTTTGAATTTTTAGGGATACAGGTTTCAAAGTATGACCTGATGATTCTCTGGATTTCCTCAGTGTCTGTTGTTATGTCCCCCTTTTCATTTCTGATTTTTATTAATTTGCATGTTCACTCTCTGCTGTTTGGTAAGTTTGGATAAGGGTTTGTCCATCTTGTTGATTTTCTCAAAAAACCAACTTTTCCATTATATTGATTCTTTTTATTGTTTTCCTAGTTTCCACTATTGATTTCAGCCCTCAATTTAATTATTTCCTGGTGTCTACTCCTCCAGGGTTCATTGGCTTCTTTGTGTTCTAGAACTTTCAGTTGTGCTGTTAATTCTCTAATGTGACTATTTTCCAGTTTCTTCATGTGGGCACTTAGTGCTATGAACTTTCCTCTTAGCACCGCTTTCAAAGTGTCCCATAAGTTTGGGTATGTTGTGTCCACATTCTCATTGAATTCTAGGAAATCTTTAATTTCTTTTACTTCTTCCTCGACCCAGGGATGGTGCAATTGGGCATTATTCAGTTTCCATGAGTTTGTAGGTTTTCTGCTATTTGTGTTGTTTAATTCTAAATTTCAAGCATGGTGGTCGGATAAAATACAGGGGTTTATTTTAATTTTTGCACCTACTGAGGTTTGCTATGTTGCCCAGTATGTGGTCAATTTTAGAGAAGGTTCCATGTGGCACTAAGAAGGTATATTCTTTTGTTTTGATGGAATGTTCTGTAGACGTCTGTTAAGCCCAGTTGGGTTAAAACTTCTACTAGTTCCTTTGTTTCTTTGTTAAGTTTCTGTCTGGTGTTCCTGTTTAGTGGTGAGAGTGGGGTCTCCCACTATAAGTGTGTGAGGTTTTATGTGTGATTTGAGTTTTAGTAATGTTTCTTTTACGGACGTGGATGCCATCGTATTTGAGGCATAGATTTCAGAATTGAGACTTCATCTTGATGGATTTCTCCTGTGATGAGTAGGAAGTGACCCCCTTCATCTCTTTTGGTTGATTTTAGTTTAAAGTCTAATTCATTAGATATTAGGATTCCTACCCTCACTTGTTTCTTGGGACCACCTGATTGGAAAATCTTTTCCCACCCCTTTACTCTGAGATATTGTCTGTCTTTGAAGTTGAGGTGTGTTTCTTGTATGCAACAGAAGGATGGATTCTGTCTTCTTATCCATTCTACTAGCCTGTGTCTTTTTATGGGTGAGTTAAGACCATTAATGCTGAGGGATATTAATGACCATTGATTGTTCATTCTTGTTTGTTTTGGATTTGGTGGTAGTGGTGGAATTGTGTGTGGTTTTCTACCCCATTTTTCTTTTGGCTGTTGGTAAAGTGGGATTATCTATTGCATATGTTTTTCTGGCTGTAGTCAACTTCCTTGGTTGGAGTTTACCTTCTAGAACTTTCTGAAGGGCTGGATTGGTGGATATGTATTGTTTAAATCTGGTTTTGTCGTGGAATATCTAGTTTTCTCCATCTATAGTGATTGAAAGTTTTGTTGGGTATAGTAGTCTGGGTTGGCATCTGTGGTCTCTTAGTGTAGCTAGAATATCTATCCAGGACCTTCTGGCTTTCAGAGTTTCCATGAAAAAGTCGGGTGTAATTCTAATAGGTTTGTCTTTATATGTTACTTGGCCTTTTTCCTTTGCTGCTCTTAATATTTTTTTCTTTATTCTGTATGTTGAGATTTTGATTATGTGGCGAGGAGACCATTTTTGTGGTCTACTCTATTTGGTGTTCTGCAGGCTTCTTGTACTTTGATTGACATGTCTTTCTTTAGGTTGGCAAAGTTTTCTTCTATGATTTTGTTGAGTATGTTTTCTGTACCTTTGGGTTGGGTTTCTTTACCTTCTTCTATACCTATTATTCTTAGGTTTGGTCTTTTCACAGTGTCCCATATTTTCTGTATATTTTGTGTTAGGGATTTGTTGGATTTAAGATTTTCTTTGGTCGATGAGACTATTTCTCCTAGTGTATCTTCAACTCCTGAGATTCTCTTTCATCTCTTGTATTCTGTTGGTTATGCTTGCATCTGTAGTTCCTGTTTGTTTACTCAACTTTTCTATTTTAAGCATTCCCTCAGTTTGTGTTTTCTTTATTGTCTCTATTTCAGTTTTCAGGTCTTGGAACCGTCTAAATTGTTTCCTTCAGCTGTTTGACTGTATTTTCTTGACTTTCCTTAAGAGATTTGTTGATTTCTAGTACTTTTTGGTTTGTTTCTTCCATTTCTTTATGGGATTTTCTCATTTTCTTCCATTTCTTTAAGAGATTTTCTCATATCCTCTTTGAGGCCCTCTATCATTTTCATGATGTTTTTAAGGTCATTCTCTTCTGCATCATCTGTGTTGTGATGTTTGGGTCTTGCCCGTGTAGGGTCTCTGGTGGTGTCGTATTGGTTTTTTCTTTTTTTGCTGTTGAATGTGTTTTGTTTTTTGTTTTTTGTTTTTTTAATTTATTATTTATACAGTCTTCTGCCTGCATGCAGGCAGAAGGCACCAGATCTCATTCAAGGCGGTTGTGAGCCACCATGTGGTTGCTGGGAATTGAACTCAGGACCTCTGGAAGAAGTCAGTGCTCTTAACCGCTGAGCCATCTCTCCAGGCCTGAATGTGTTTTTAAATTGTCTTCCCATCCTTTCTTCCGGTGGGTGTAGAAGGATTCTCTTCCTCTCCTATTTCAGTGGATGGAGGCGTGACTGGCACCGAGGACCTGGAAGTCTCTGGAAGTGCTGGTTCCAGCAGAACTGGGATCCTCTGTGTGCAGCCCTCCAGCCTCAAGTGACCCCGAGCAGGGCAGAAGGACCGGAAACACCCCCAAGCCTATCTAGTCTGGTGGATGGAGGTGGGACTGGCACCAAGGATCCAGAGTCCCTGGACATACTGGATCTGGTGAAGCTGGGATACGCCATGAGCAGCCCCCAGCCTCCGAGCAGGGCAGAAGCAACTCTGACATATTTTAAGATGGCCTGTCTGTCTAAAATATATGTTTGACCTTGAAAACCGATCTGACTACAAGTTTGATGGTAATAGAAGACTAATCCCTAACTTGCAGTTCCTTATTATCCTAAATAGTTGGTAATAATTTTCACGGGCTAAAACTTTGTGATACATAGTTAAATTAGTTGCATGTGTACAATAACTTGAACAAGATTAGAAATGTATGTACGGTATAATCTAACAAAAATAATCATAACTTTGTATCAAGACACAAAAAATCCAAGTAAATGTAAAATATGTAGTTACTTTTTTGATTTAAAAGTAGATTTAATAATCTACCCTTACATACTATCATATCTATGTCTCCCTTTTTGTTTTTGAAAACAAAAATTCTGAATCTAATTTCCTATGTTCAACATTTTTCCTGACTATTACCAATAACAACTTGCAACTGACTACCCTAAACAATGTCAAATATCCATAACCCATACAATAATCAAAAATCACTCACCCTAGCCGGGCATCCAGCACTTAAGAGACAGAGGCAGGTGGATCTCTGTGAGTTTGAGGCCAGCCTGGTCTACAGAGCAAGTTCCAGGACAGTCTCCAAAAACGAAGGAGACTCGAAAAACAAAACAAAAACCCACCCAACCTCTTAGGAATGTGGGCATCATATTCTTAAATTTACTTCCTGCTGTCTGGAGGCAACAGCATCATTAGGGGATCCTGAAAAGAGATTTTGAGTCAATTGTCAAGTCCTGGGTGAGACAGCTAAATTACTTGTTGTCCAGTCTCTGTGCAATAGGAAAGTGCAGGGCTTGTCTCAAATCCTGGCTAGAGTAATCTGTGAGGCTGGATCATCTCAACTAGCCAACTGAAAATTTTCCTGAGGAGTCTATAGTTCAAAGCCATCTTTAGGTGCTGTTTCTCAGCTTAGTGGTGCTATCACACACAGTCCTGGAGAATTAGTCATTGTGGGGCCTCATCCTCCCTTTGGAGACTTCAAACGTCACTGTTAAACATGGTCATGGTTCACTGTAGAAAATGCCATATGCTGCAGATCTCAAAGAGATTAAAGGACCATACTTCATTATGTATACCCAGAATACATAAACTTAATCCCTAGTTACCTGATAGAGACTCAAACCCAAAATCATGTATAAGAAGCTACACGAAACCTTTTTCTAGAATTAGTATTCTATATGACCATTAATATTATAAAAAGTTTAAAAAATATATTAATCTTATAAATTCTGAGACAATATTTACACCTTAAGAAAAGCTTCAAAGACTCAAAATAAAACCAAATGATTGAGAGTGGCAATAAAATAGACCCTTCATTTTTGTTTTTCTTCTGTCCCATATCAGGTGGCTCTTCTGACGACAGAGATTTTGGGTTTTACATGCTTGGGTTTAGAGAGAGCGCAACATTCCAACTCCAAAACCAGCTTTAATTTTTAATTGGAGTGGGACTACAAAGAAACCATTTTTATTATATGTCTGTAAAGAAAAGCAGAAACAAACATTTGGGAAGATTGGAGAAATTTTATCCTATTGGAGACGTGATATGCTAATAGGCCAATTTACTCTTTTTCTTGGGACATTTTCTCTGGATGATTTGTCCTTTTCCCTCAGATGTCTCATTTGTCCAGTGGTCTTCAGCTTCCTTAGCTGGATGCCTTCATTCTCCTGAAAAGACAAAAACATAACCTTTCTCCAACCCTAATTTTGGGGAGGATCCCTTCTGGCAAGTTACATCTCATCCAGTGAAAAGCATTTGTTAGTTTTAAAGTTAGTTCAAATTGAATGGCCATGCTGTTTGATTAACTATCACCTCTTCTAATCAAGGGGTGTCTTGTTCAAATCTAGTCTTTATTGATTTTGATGGTATCCATAGCTTTTCTTCTCCTGTGGAAAACAAAAGCAAAACCCCTTCCCCAATGTAACACATGTCCTGGTTTACATTCCTAGGTCAGCACATCTTTAAAGTATGCAGGCTGATTTAATCCCATTGTTTTTCTATTATCCAATGTCTCTCCGAAACTGTCATTCTTTTCTCATTAGCATTCAGAAAATTCAAAGTTAATAAAAAAATTATGCAATCTATTTCTGGGGGGAGGTCTTTATTACCCCTGTTTATTTAGCATCTTTCCATAACTGCTTGCCCTGTGGGATTGTGTGGCATACCTGTTATATGCTTTATAATATAATAAGCAAAACAATTACTTCATTTAATAGAGATATATGCTGGAGCATTGTCAGTCTTAACTTCTATAGGTATTTCCATGATGGCCATTACTTCTAGCAAATGTGTAACTACCAAATCAGACTTTTCAGAACTCAAAGCAATTGCCCACTCAGATCTTGAATAGGTAATCAATGGTATGGTCTACATACTTTAATTTTCTAAATTCTGAAAACTGAAACACATCCATCTGCCAGATTTCATTCCTTCAAGTACCCTTTGGGCTACTTCTTGCTGGAAATGAAGTTTGGTTGTATAAAAATATGGCAGAATATCTCCTTATAATTTCCTTGGTTTATTGCCAAGATGTGGAAATTTCTCCAAACCTTTGCTACTGGCATGATGATTTTTATGAAATTCTGAGGCCTCCAGCACATTTTCTATCAATAATTGATCAATTTTATCATTACCATGTGCTAGAGGGCCTGGCAGATCCATATGGGATCGGATGTGTGATGTGACACATACATAGGGTTCCTGTTCCAGATTATGTCTTGTAACTGAATAATAAATAAATCAATTCTGTGTCATCTGGTATAAATTCAGCAGTTTCAATATGCAAAGCAACTCTTTCTGCATATTGTAAATCACTAATTATGCTGAGTTTCCATAAAATCCAGGAATACCATGAGAATCTGACAGAATTAAGGGCTTTGAGCCACTCAAATTTTCTCATTTATAACCTGCCTTTCCTGGTTTACTTGGATCAGTATAGAATGTAGGGGGCTCTAGATATTGTTCTCTGTACAATGAGGAAGGATTCAATTCGTTCTCTTTTTATATTGAATTCTCTTGCTTTTGGGATATTGGTTGTTCATGTCTCCCAAAAGATTACTGCCAGCTCTTTGTCAAGGTTCACTTTCTGCCCGTAATTTGTTAATTTCATCATTAGTAAAAAGGTACTACAATTTCTGCTGGGTCTATTCCTGCTAATTGACAAAGTCCCAATTTTGCTTTAAGAATAAAATCAGAGATCTTTTCCACATAAGCTTTTAATTTTTTATCCATGTTTGTGGTAAAAAGATCCATTCTAAGACAATAGCTTCCCTTTGCATTAATATTCCTGTAGGAGAATGCTTAGAGGGAAAAATAACCAAAATGCACTCAAGCTCTGGATCCAAATGATCCACATGTGCATCCTGTAATTTCTTTTCCAAAGCCATGTCTTCCTCAGCTTCAGCTGATAATTCTCTTGGACTATTTAAGTCCTTGTCAAATTTAACAAATACTCAGATCATTTTTTTTTCTACTACAATAGTGGGCTTTAGATAGGAAATGTCTCCTAGCAATCTTTGAAAGTCATTAAGAGTCAGCAATCAATCTCTCCTAATTTGCGCCTTTTGGGGTCTAATTTTCTGTAAAATTTTATATCCTAAATAATTAATAAAATCTCCTCTTGCATTTTTTCATGAGCAATTTGTAATCCCCAACAAGGCAAAATTTTCTTTACTTCTTCAAATACTGTAAAGTATCTACATTTGAATCAGCTAGTAAGATGCCATCCATGTAATGGTAAACCATAGATTAAATAAATTGTTTACGTATCATTTTCAATGGCTGACTTACAAAATATTAGCACAGGGTGGGGCTATTTAAACTTCCATTGCTACCTCTAAACAGGCTAGGAATTATTATTATAAGTAGGCACCATGAAGGCAAATTTTTCTGTATTTTTCTTGTAAAGGTATAGTGAATTCCAGTAGAGAACCCACTGGTTGAATCACCTTATTAACAGCTCTTAGATCTATTACCATTCTCCATTTTCCAAATTTCTTTTTAATAACAAATTCAGGAGGATTCCAAGGGCTGAATGATTCTTCAATATGCTGAGCATTTATTTGCTCCTATACTAGCTCTTCTAAAGCCTGCAGTTTCTCTCTTGCTAAAGGCCATTGCTTAACCCATATAAGTTTGTCTGTCAACAATTTAAAAGTAGGGCTGTTGGTGCCTTTGAAAGATCAGCAGTTGTAGTGCCCTGTTCTTGTACAACCTGAATAGCCATTGACTGTTCTTGTTTGTCTGTTTTCTGAGACAGGGTTTCTCTGTAGCTTTGGAGTCTGTCCTAAAACTTGCTCCATAGACCTGTGCTGGCCTTGAACTCACAGAGATCCATCTGCCCCTGCCACTGCCTCCTAAGTGCTAGGATTACAGACGTGTGACACCACATGTTAATTTATGTTTTTTTTTTCTAAGATTAGAAGAATGTTAATCTAAGTATTCCATTGCTGTAGCAAATCACATCTCCAGATAGCCACATATGGCTTTATTTTCCTCTCTGTCCTTCTGGACCTCTACATTTGACCAACCTGGTGCTGTTTTACCTGTGATAAAGTTCCAATCCCTAAAAGCTGAACATTTACCTCCTGAAGAGGCCAATTTGGATACTAATATTCTGGCGCATTATTGTGACATCCACACCTGTATGGATCTACCAGACTTTCAATGACAGTGTCATTTATTCATTATTTTTTATTTTGGTCTTTGTTCATTTATAAAAGTTTGCCAAAATATTTGTTTTATGGTTTCTCCTGAATTTTTTGTTCTCTCTTCTATAGCTGCTCCATCATCCAGTGTATTATCATACAGAGACCTAAATCTCTCCATTGTAATAGCATTTCCCATATTTAAAAAAAATTGTTTATTATATATACAGCAGGGATACCTGCTGTAAACTATGAAAGACTAACAGGAAACAAACTTCCCCTCCTACATCTGGGAAGCTGAAAAGCAGCACAAGGCAGTGCTTCCTGAGAAATGAAAGATGAGTGTCTAACACTCAACATATTTGGTTAGAGAGTTTCTAGGGCTTAGCAAGAGAGAAGGAACCTAAACACAGCCTGGTGGTTTCACTAAGTTAAAAAGGCAAGAATTTGAAGAGTTGTAGTAGTGACTAGAATTTGAAGTGTGAGGGTTGGGACAAAGACAGACAGAACGATGTCACTCTGCAGATATACAGAAGAGTTCCTCAAGCACCCTGGTCTACAGAGTGAGCTCCAGGACAGCCAGAGCTAATGCAGAGAAACCTGCTCTCAAAAAACAAACAAAACAAAACAAAACAAAACAACAACAACAACAACAACAAAGGGTCGGAGAAAAAAACATTGCGAAGAAGGAGGCAGCAGAACAATTGCCAGAACACATACACAAGGCTAGAAATATGGTCCCACCAGCCAGAATGGAATCCAGAAAGTGGGTAGAATCATCAGAAAGATGCTAAGTTTATATTGGAGAAGCTAGAGCTCCAATGTTGTGCCAGGGCGGTACACTGAGACTTGTAGTTAGTAGGACCTTGTGGAGAACCTTAGGTTATTGGGGTTATGCTTGAAGATTGTAGGATCCCACCCTCTTCTCTTTTCTTTGTTTCTTGCCTTACAAGTAGTTTTGCTCATTCATTCACACCATGATGTGCTTGCTATCCATATCAAAGAATCAACAGCTCACTCAGTCAAGGACTGGCAACTCTAAAATAACCTTTTTTTTTTTCCTTTATAATTTAATCACAGGTATTTTGTTATATGATAGAAAGCTAAATAATGGAGAAGTCAAAATAGCCCTACCCTAAATGTCATTTGGGGCCCACTCTAATAAAACAGAAAACAATTCCAAGTCACCAGAATTATTTTTGCTAAGCTCCATAATATTTAATTATTTTCATTTTAGTTAAGTTTATCTATTTGCCTGCATGCGTATCTGTGTACCACATTCATGCCTGATACTAGCAGAAGCCAGAAAAGGATGTCAGGTCTCCTGAAACTAAAATTGTTGCTGGGATCATCATAACCTGGGTCCTCTGAAGTACAGCTAGTGCAACTCTCCATTCCCACTTTGAATGTGGAAGTTCCTGAAGAAGACGGAAGTCAGGGGAATGTGTTAGCTTTTATTAATAGGCAAAATCCTCACACGACTCTTCTACTTCTTCCTCGTTTCCAAGAGGGATGGGAAAGCTTACCAAGCCACACTCTCCCTGGCTGGGCTCACTGCCAGCAACTTCATCATCCAAGAGCCCGTGCTTTGCAGCACCCCAGCTTTTTATTCAGGTATTCAAGTCATGTATCTTCTAAAACAAACTGCCTTTGGGCAAAGCCACTCCTTACTGTTGTATATGGGACCAAATGATAGAAGTCCTCAAACAAGTTCCTATACTATCAGGAAGACAATTATGTGATTTTTAAAGTCACACTTACAGTTCACATTAGTCAAAATAACCACAAAACTATATTTGAACAGTAACAATTCTATTCACTCTAGTCATTTAAAATTGTCCCTCAATTATGTTAAATCAATCAGTGCCTCTTAAGACCTTAGAATGCAGATTGTTAAGGTTTCAGATCCAGTATCACTTCAGACAGGCCTTACCAAACCAAACTAAAAAAGTCCATTTTGTATTCCTACTACATCAAAAGCCAAAGTTCTGAACAGGGAAAAATAAACTTTTGCCTTGCTA